TATAGGTATGATATATTACAGCACATGTATTTTTCAAGAAAAATCCATCGCTCTCCACGTCGCAGGTACATCGGACAAAATCTGCGTCAGATGGTGGACCGACCTGATGGCATCTTTCTCTTCAGACTGCACAAGGCCGACGGGACTGGGACGTTTGGATCTCTGGAGTTTAGGCTTTTTGAGTGGCTGGGATGTCGCAAGGAAAATGGGAGCTTGAAGCCGTTGAGTCGCAAGAAAACTTCTAGAAACAGAATCAAAAAACACCAAGCAAGATAAGGATTTAACCAATTCAACTACTGTACATGTGTCCAACACAGTTGGGATATGCTTGGGGGTAGAATAGCATGTCATTGCATCATAGCATATGAGATGTGATAATCATGGTTTTCATGGGATGTAATGGGACATAAATGGAAATAATGGATACAACCAAAAAACATGCAGGTAAATTGCAGTTTTCAATTGTTTTTAGTTGTAATCGAGGACAATGACTTTTAATAACTGGGGTGTCACCAACCATGTTTGCTGGTGATATATCATGGGATGTTGATGGTAAAACAGCCAGTGATTTGAGTTTAGAATGATCCATCGCTTAAGACGCGGAGCTGATGGGTGTGTTATGGTACATGCTTATATTCATGGGGATAGTTCATTGAATGTTGATATATACTGTGCACAGTATATATATATATATGCCCATATGTAATAGATGTTGATGGAGATGGGCATACAAACTAATTATACCACCAGTTTATGGTAATTGGAAAACAGGAACAATGATAGACCGTCTCATTTCTTGTTCTTGTTACCTTTTTTTCAGTGGGATGATGATTACATTACCCTCTGGTAAACTAACATAGCTATAGAAAATCACCATTTTGAATATTTAAATCAACTATAAATGGGCCATTTTCAATAGCTATGTCAAATTACCAGAGGGTAGTTTGGGGATTCAACCATCAGTCAAATATGGATCAAATATAGTGGAGCAGTTGTATAAACCTTGGTCCCTTCATGGGAGTTGAGACAAACCATACTACTAGGGTGCTCCTGGGCAGATGAACATATAAATGGATAGGCGATAGGTATGATGTGGTATGATGGGTTGGTTCATTTTTGGGGTTTAATAAGGTTATACATAGGAGACTGTCATACTCCATGAACTGGCTGTGATGGCGACTATCCATGGTTTTCCCATTGAAATTGCCATATCCAAGACCTTTTTGCGCAGATGGTCCTGCTGAACTTCTACTATAGTAAACTAGTAATTGAACTAACGAGAATGACCGAGTTTTGCTCCTGATGTTGGCCTTTAACCATCAGTGTGAGACTACCCACAGCTGGTGGTCCCCAGTCTTTAGATCTGCATGATTCATGATGGTTACTATGGCTTTTGTAGATACTGTATCTAGACATGTAATTTGATGTTCCGTGGCTATGAAATGACCAGTAGGACCAGAGGGCCTGCAACGGACCCGTTTTTTGGTGCAGACCTAAAGCTGGAATGGCTGCCATGGAATGCCTCTGGGAAGTTAAGATTGCCATGGCTCATTCTGAGATGGTTTATCAAACATTACCATGTTCCATGACTAATTTCGATTGCCAGATGGTATTCAGAAACATACCCAGCCAATTGCAATCCTCTTTTCTGGAAACAGTTAATGCGACATGGGTTTCGAAATCTCTGGCCATTGGTAAAAAATGGTCGAACATGAGGTCAATGAACCCACCAAATTGTTTTATGATAACATAATTTTGAGTCATCCGTTGTTTAAGGCAAATGCTTGATGTTTAGACATTTTTTTTATGCACCAGTTTATAACCACGCATACGACGGTCAGGAGCGTGTCTTCTACATGAGCGAGCGACTGCTGAAGCATGCAGGGCACATCCCCAAGAAGGTCACGACGGGGAGCTGTTGGGCGACCGGGATCCGATCGATGATGAATGGGATATGATGCTGAATGGATCTGAATGGAACTAAGATGGAGGTTTCCTAAAATATCCATTTACCCTCTGGTAAACTAACATAACTATGGAAAATCACAATTTTTAATGGGAAAATCCACTATAAATGGCCATTTTCAATAGCTATGTTAAATTACCAGAGGGTATCATCCAGCACTCACTTATTGGTTCCATTCACCATACAGGGATACCCCCACTTATCATCCATTTATACTGTAGATGGATTTTCCTTGAAATAAACCATCCAGCTATTGGGGTAGCCCCATTTTAAGAAACCTCCATGAAATAATCGACAATATGGGATTTGATTGGGATCAATGGGATGATGTATGTTACTGTGGTAAACCCTCTATTGCAGATGGCTTCTGGCATTGGGTTTACCACATTATATAATGTTAGCTATGATGATCTATGATACGGGTCCCTTTCGAACATGGTTTGCTGAACATCTCGGTTCTCAATGTATGTTTCTAGCCGGGAAACACATTGAACTAAATGGGTAATTTTCCAGCCACGTTTGATTCCCGGAGGCTATGAAGAGGTGTATACTCCAAAATGCCAATCTTGCCAGGGATAATTGAGGATAATTGCAATTCACCATTGGATTTTTGGGGTACATAATTATGTTCAGACAGACCCATATTACTAATAGTTGGGATGAATATGTTACCTTCTGAGAAGGTGTTTAGGACCTCCGAACCAACCTCAAATACAATCTCATAATGTGTTTAGAGCTGTAAGGGGATTAGCTATATACGTCCAATGAATACAATAACCCTGATATGACTTATCGTAAATAGTGAAGAAATCATTAAGCCTCATTAAGCCGCTAATTATAGTCAATGAAACATGTTAATGATATGAATAACATTATATAACTGAATACTGGTTGAATAAGTCAATTGTACTAATGATATACGATACTTGGGAATCAACCAGTGGTTCGCTGGCCATCATGGCCATCACGGATCCCAAGAATCCAATTGGCATGATAGACATGGGGGTGAAATATCCCCAAACCAAGTTGTGGTTTATGAATGTTTATGAAATGTGGCATGGGATAATATATTCATGGTCTTGTGGATAACACATCAGGGGCTAAGCATTTTTTTGGGGATATCAGTGGTTGGAGTTCGGTCACGGCCAACTAACAGGACAGCGCCGAAGCTCAGCCATGTGTTTGCAACAGTGGAAAGAGATATGGATTTACCATGGATTTACCGGTATTCATTGGACATGGATGGACATGGGATGTTCATGGATTTTCTATGGAAAGTTGGACTGAGACATACTGAGACAGTAGATTTTCTATGGATTTTCTAAGGATTGTCTATGGGTTTTCTATGCAGTCGATTTCCCAACTCAAACTGCCATTTGATCCAGCTGTGCTAGGAACTTCTGAGTGCCGGTGTCTGCATCGGCAAGGCATCTGCATCCCATGGGTTGTTGCATCCCATGGGTTGTTGTTACAGGGGTGGTGCCCCATAGTTAACTAAGTTGGTTTATAAGTCCAATAACTATGGCAGTAACTATGGTTGATGGATGTTGATGGTACTTATATAACTATAGTTACTGGGGCTTATAAACCAACTTATAACCGGGAAGGCACAACCTTGTATGTGTTAAAATGATCATGTTCATTCATCTTCCCTACTAATCTCATGTTAGGATATTACCCTTTGGGGTGGATCCTTTGGGATTGTTGAAGACTAAGACCGTGACCACATGTTTTAACCTAATATCCAGCATGTTGTATCATATTGTATCTATTTTCAGTATGAACATAAGTATGTTTTAGGTCCGTTGGTACCACATGTCACATAATTCTTGAAGCTCTTTATCCCAAGTGGCCTGGGGTTAGCAAAGCCCTGCTGTTCACGCCGCCAGTTCACGCACAGCCGGAAGTTTCGCTTGCAGATCACAGCGCTGGACTACCTGGTTGGCACCTGAGTGCAGATGCTATGACGACAGAATATTTGACTCCCCAACGGGGTCAGACAGAGGCAGACAGCCACGGCATTGCCACGGCTATATACGTATTACTATCATCGTAATTGCGTAGATCTTAGTAGATATTGGAATAGATAGTATTCAGATTGATTAGAACATATCTCCGGTATAGGTATCATTATCCCAACACACATCCAGTATCAATTGGTTTCATACAGATAGATACATAATTGTTATCAAAGATTGGGATCTCCTGTAGTGTTTCCTTTGAAGTTTAATCAAGCCATTGGCACACCCCAAACCGAAGCTGCTCAACATGTGCGGTGCAATATGTTGATAACCGTCAAGATTTTGGATGAATCCCCATTTACATCCATTCATCATATGATTTTCCATATTGATATAGTTCCCATGTTGGTTGAAACTCGCCCTTTTTTCTATCCGTTGTTTTCCAAGCAAGACTGAATCACATCCTGAGGCCCGCCTTGCCCAGTATCGGGTCTGGTTGAAACCCTCCGGGGAGCAGCACTTTGTGTATGGCAACCACGTGGTGAAGGCAACGCTGTCGCGTCCATTTCGGCCGCCATTGGGAGGGGCCGGGGCGATCCCCAAGTCACCATGGGTTTCAATATAAAAAGTGTTTCCTTTGGATGATTTGGGGCTACCCAAAATTTAGGAATCACTGTGAGGACTTCTGTTCTGTTTCTTTCTAAGCCTTTCATGTGAATATATGTATCTGAGCCAATAAGCTGATTGCATCAGTGGCCTTTCTGTTTTGATTTGTTGTTTTCTTGTTACTCTTGAGTAGAGTCTTCCGTTCAGTTGCCACCGTTTGCCAGTAGGATACAGCATCCATAAACTACTCTTGACACAGCCAGATCAAAAAGAATCAATCGATGAACAGGCTTTCTCTTCGCCATTTTTTGTATGAAAACCAGTTCTGTAACTGTATCGTTATCATTCGTTCTCCAAACTGCCAAAATTCTGGATTCAAATCAGCAATTCCCCCGTCACCTCCGCCGTGGCTGAGCTGAGCTCCCGACATCCCCGTGTTTCCGCGGAGCCTCGCCTCGCGCCTCGCCATGGGGGAAGAGCCGCTGCCCAATGGAGGCGGTGATCGTCGTGGAAATGATGGCTGGATGCATATATGGTATGGCAACCCCCCAACCATAGAAAAGGTACAATTTCTGACTATTTTAGTGGGATTTGAACAACTTCTATCTTTTGGGGATTGCGATAGGTTAAACTGAGGTTTAAAATGGTTTAAACAGTTTTCTCAATGCTTTCGTTTAAGGATTTCTACAGGCTATTTTAGGTCAACAGGTTAACTAAGGTGTAACCAGTGATGTATATGTTTGATTAACCAAGCATAGGGAACATCTATGAACATCTATATGGGATTCTGCTGATTCTACCAACGAACGGCTGCAATAACATGGGTGTATTGGTATATCATCAGGGGTATACACCATAATCTAAACGGAGATACGTCGTAGAATTCACCACCGTTAAATACAGATATGTTGGAAGCACTCTAGCCGCTTGGGGGTTGATTCAAACATGTTCATGGCTGGTGCTTGACGGACTCCCGATCCTCAAATCCATCAATCATGGAGCGCGTTTCTGGTGGTCAGGCAACCAGGCACATGAATAGACATGAATATTGGGACGGAGATGGTTCCTCTCATATCTCTCATCAATCAATGAAACAGCATGTTTGTCCAACAAAGATCGAGATTCAACTCAACTGAAACTGCAACTATATGTGCACACAGAGTGCACACAAGACCGTACGGGTATATTTATACTATACATATATATAATTATACACATATTTATGTCGTGTTGCTCAATTCCGAGAAGCTTTGTGGTGGCAAGCAGTCGCTGAAGTTGTCATCGTGCCAAGTCATCAGAGATGGCCAGTGGCAGCTGACTTGGAGAAGAAGCTCCGCAACCAAAAGTGGAGATAGTTTATATTATATACCTATATTCATTACACCCCATTTAAATCCATATATAAATCCATTTAAATCCATTTAATCATTACTGATCATTACTGTATATAGAATTAGTTGGTTGATTCCCCATGATATCATATGATATCCCATATTTTTTGATCAGTTCATTGATTGAAACGCTGCACCGGCTGCACCGGCTGCACCTGTTCAGGTGGAAATATCCTCGTCACCCGCGGCTGGGGCGCCGACAAGCCAGGCATTTGCCAGGCGGCTTTCCGCGCGGGACCCGCCGTGACCAACGGAGAGATTCGGTGGATTTAAGCGACAAGAAGATACTGTGGATGGAAGAAATTCTGCAGCACCAAACGGATGGTTGAAACATGTTGAAACCCTATAAATAATGGGATGTTTACCACCTATCAACTGGTGCAGGATTTCGCAACCATCCACCGTATCACCAAAATCTATGGGGATGTATATATATATATATACAGTATATATATATATATACATACTGGAATTTAGTGGGTTTAAATGCGTTTTTTCAATGTGGTAAATCCAATAATAAACCGATCATTCAGAGATAAAAATGGGGATGGTTGGAGTCCCACTCATTGGTTTACCACATTTATATGATTTACTGGGAATTGGTCTTGGTGAAACCATGATACCAACCTTTGTTTAACGCTCCTTAGTTTTCATCCATGTTTGTTGCTTCCTTCACCTGAGCAAATCACTCTGACAGAACATATCCTCAAAAGTCACCTGTAATCTGTTCCACCTTCAAGGGCTCTCATGAATTTCATTGCGGGCTGAATATCTACTTTCGTGGTCACGGTGAGGCTTTCCTGAAGAAAGTGGAGGAGCACAACAGTGAGGCGCAGTCGATGGATGGCAAGGGTATTCTGTGACATGTTGATAGGTTGTACCCATCGAAGTATCCGAATTTATGCTACATTCAGGATCATTCAGGTATGTTTGATTTAAATATAACTATCATGTAGTTGATTTAATCATGGTTCATATCATGTCTATCCATTTATGCATTCATGTAGTTGATTTAAGTCTATTTAACTCGATATGTCCGATATGTGTTCCTGGCCGCTGGCGGCGTCGGCAGTTGGGTTTTCGACCAAACCGGTGAAGAACTTCGGGAACTTCGGGGACGATCGCTGAGAACTTCAGTGGTTAAAACCATGTCATGTTTACCATGCCCCCAGTCATCACCATTTTTATAGGTAGTATGTTTACCATTCCCAGTCATGGGTAGTTTATGAATTATGGTTTTAAATAGCTGGAGTATAAACCATAAATCAAATGGGTCGTTTATATGAATTATTGTTTGAACCACGTGATTCAGGTTCGTTAGAAGCAGCAGTTTTGGGAAAATTGACAGACATTTCTAGATGTAGATGTACATGGCCACTATCATGCCACTATCCCACTATCCAGAATTATCCCAGACTAACCCGACCCCCCTATTTCCATGGTTATACCAAGGTTATACCATGATTCTATCAAAAATGTATCAAGGTTATACCATAATTGCAATAGTTATTTCCAATAAATGCATTGATTATTATATAACCGTATGACCCATTAGAATAAACAGTAATAAGTAGTAATAAACAAAACATCTCAAGTGACGACCAGGTGTTGGATATGGCGCAATTTCTTCTGGGTGGTGGCTTGCTGTTTACCTTCGTGCTCAAGGTGGGGGACAGACTCTTTTGGACTCGGACATTGATGATCTCTCGACATACGACCAGAGGACCATCTACATAGGCTACGTTCATATACAAATACAGATAGTTGCGATACGATATACATGCATAGATACGTATATACCGTATAGATATAGATTAGATGGATTGGATGGATAGATAATTTGATATAAATTGTAAATAGAGAGATAGATTGATAGATTAGATTTGATTAGGTCATATTATATTATGTTGAAATTTGATTAAATTCGACTAGATATTTGATATCATATAGAGATCAGATAGCTTCGATATTATAGATAGACAACACAGATTCGAGAAGGGACAGAGATTAGACAGATATCGACAGATTCGATATACTAGATATAGAGCAGATAGATTCGACACATGAGATAGACTAGATAGATTAGATAGCTTAGATGGATTGATAGATGGATGGATAAATCGATAGAAAGACAAATAGACAGATTTCGGTTGAGTTAGATCAGTTTTGAATTGGATTTGATTAAAATTAACTTCGATTAGTTACAGAGATAGTAATACAGACACTACTTTCTTATTTGCCATCTACAGACATACAAACATAGGGACATAAAGTCATACACACATATATGCATTGACATATATAATCAAATATACATGAACATACACAGACATACATCGTGATTCATAGTTAGTGGTACATAGCGATACATGGCAATACATAGTGACCCATAGTGGCACATAACTGGTTGGTGGTTTGGAACATTTTGTATTTTTCCATATATTGGGAATGTCATAATCCCAAATGACGAACTCATATTTTTCAGAGGGGTAGGTATAGCACCAAACAGATAATGATACATAGCAGAGTTTTTGTTTCAAGAAGGAGCAAACCAAATTTGATCCACGCTGTTTGTTTGTGTGTTGTTTTTCTAGGATGGTGGAGCGTCTATTGAAGGTGGAATATGTTTCCAACGTCAGCACGACATACAGTAACTGTTCCTTTTTTTAGCCAGAAATGGGCGGATATTACCAATATGGTAATTCAACAATATTTAACATAACTATACATAGCTGAATAAAATTCTTATAGGTAGATCAATGTTTTTTCATCTTTTTCAATAGGGCATGTTTCAGATCTATGGCACAACTGGAGGTAGATGAGGAAAAGTCCTTTGCCCTCATGAAATCCTTGCGCGCTTGTGCCAAAGAGCCTCGGTTTTTGGCTTTTGGGTAGCGAGGTCAGGGGTCGGTATGGGAGAATGGGATCAAAATAACATTATTATGACTATATTGTATAATTGGGGCATCTGAGTATTTGAGCATTGATTAATCAATGTTGAACACAATATCAGACAATAGCTGGTTGGTGGTTTGGAACATTTGGATTTTTTTTCCCATCATATTGGGAATGTCATCATCCCAACTGACTCATATTTTTCAGAGGGGTAGGTCAACCACCAACCAGCATAGGGTGCAAGATACACGTCTTCAGAAAGGAGATGGTCAAGGCCTCACCAATTGGGTCCACCAACGATCGGAATGGGACACCCGGCCCTCTTAGAGGGGTCCAGGGTGAAAGCAATTCCGCCATAGCCATATTATACATATATAATCATATATGTATATATATATATGTGCATATATATATATAGATATGTGTATACATATATATATATACATATATATATATATACATATATGTACATTATATGTATAAAAATGCACTGAACATTCCTATTCTTGTTATATACTGGATCCTTTTTGGTGACTTTTTGGTGATCTCTGTCATGACCAAGGACGTGGGCCTTGAGCTGGACTTCTATTTCCCCAACGCCGCGGAGGATGGGCAGTTCACTGATTTGGGGATGGGTCAAAAGCTCAGTTGTTCCCATAGGGGAATCCTATGGAAATATATGGAAATATATATTATATATTATTGTTATTATTATTATTAATATTATTATTATTATATTATTATTATATTGTGGAATAAACATCCAGAAAATCCACCCATTATAAAAATGGGTATACTATGGTACTATGGAAGATCCACCCATTTTTATGGGTGAACCAATTATTTCTATGGGCCATGGCTTCAATAGCAAACTGTTAAATTACCGGAGGGTACCATTTGGGTGCCAGGGTTTTGACCCAGAACCATCAATAAAAAGCGGGGTGGAAAGTTGGAATGGGGAGTATTGACCCAGCATTACTGCAACGCAACTTGGATACGGCAGCCGTAAAACCAGGGATTTGTGAAGTGATTTGACCCCGCACACAGTTTTGGATGTTCACTTTTCAGAATGGAACAGACATTGGAGCACTGGAACATGATGGAACAGACATCACTCTAAGTGGTATGTTCTGGGTAGGATTTAGCGTAAAATAGGATTGTTGGGATCGTCAAGGTCCAAGTTTTTGTTGTTTCAAGGAAAACAGCAAGCTTCTGTAGAAGGTGAAATGAATCCAAGGACCAAGGACGCTCGGGGAGGAACGGAGAAAAACTTCGTTCTGCTCGAGCGAGGCCTCCAAATAACAAAATCATGGCCGGGATCAAAAAACAACTCAACCACAAGCCAATGATCGTTCATGAATGCTTAAGTAAACATCAACCATATCATTCACCATATCACTCACCATATTTCTAGCCATACTATATGTTTCATGTTATTCACCAAATTAACCATATGGCTAACTTTGTTAACAGTACCACATGTGCCATGGCCAACAGTTTGACTGTATACCCAGTGTCTTAGAATTCCCGTGATGGGATGGGTGACCATATAATGACTGTCTATGTTTTTTTTAAGATTACATTAACCATATGCGAGTTTCCATAAATGGGAGATCCCCAAAATGGATGGTTTATTTCATAGAAAATCCTATTCACAGATGATTTGGTGGTACCCCTATTTCAGATTAAACATGATTAAAGTATATCATTGGCAATATAAACCATATAATAGTTGGTCCATGTTCAGACCCGTTAAACGGTCAGATTGCAATCCTAGTTACGTTCCTTTTCATGTTGTTTTCCCAAAGACAATTCAGATATTTCCAAATATCGAGATTAGCCCATTCTAGATGATATGATTATTAAGCGTACCATATTGTTCTATATCATGAACCATATGAATTGATCTTCTGAGCTACATTACTGGTTGGTGGTTTGGAACATGTTTTATTTTCCATATATTGGGAATGTCATAATCCCAACTGACTAATATTTTTTTCAGAGGGTTTGAAACCACCAACCAGATTATAATATATTATAATTAGATTGACTAATCGGAGTAAACAATATGATCCATATTATCAACTATATGAACCACAGTCGCCATATTCAATGATCCAGGCTACTGTAACTATAACCATATTACTAGATTAACCATAGTTCACTATCCATATGAAACCATATCATTCACCAAAAAACAACCAGACAAACCATATCATTTAGTTATATTATATTAGTACTGTTAATGATAGTATAGTCTAATAGTATAGTTTAATATGGATCATTAAATGTGGCTAATATGTTTTAATTGGTGCAGGTGCCAGAGGCTGAAGGTGGGAACGAGGCCGTCATCGCGCTGGCGACGCGGCAAGAAATGGGTGGAAGGTTGGGATTAATAGGGATTATACACAATAAATTATAATAAGGATTAATAGGGATGAATGAGGATCCCAATTAGGGTTTACAGTAATAGTTGTTGTTTTTCCTGAGTTTCATGGGATACATATATATAACTTAACTAAGCAACTGGATATGAGCATATGGTATGCTTGATATGGAATAACATGGTATGGTTACTGTCAATAAACGTACTATTGAGAACGAGTTTAACATGAACCAATATGGTTGATATGGTTACCCCCTGGTAAATTAACATAAGGAAAATTGCAATTTTTAATAGGTAAATCAACTATTTTTATGGGCCATTTTCAATAGCAAACTGTTAGTCATTACCAGAGGGTAATAGTCTGAGAAGTTGATAGTATGGTAAATGATGGTGTGAGAGTGCTAAATAATTTTGGCCAACTGTTCATACGTATGTTGTTTCAAATAATGGGATAAACAAGTTTACTGGGAAACATCGGTTGAACTGGTAAAATCTCGGGTTTGCAAACCCCTATCTACATTTATATGATGACCATGTTAAGGTTCCAATGATGAATCCAAAATTTAACCTGGAACCAAACAAGGGCCAGATCCGGTAGTTTTCAAAGTTTTCAATCAGAAACATCCTTGACTCCCCATTTAATTTGTTTCTCTACTTAGTGTTCTATTTGCACATGTTTGCCCGGGGTCCATTGTTTTTTATCCTTAGAAAACAACGTGAAGTGGGTGAATGGTTTTTCTTGGTCCACTTTGGCTTCTTTGGATGAAGGAAGACACTACAGTAGTCATTATTTAACACTGTATCCACCATAGCCATAGTTATCCTCCACGGGTGTCAAGAATGCTTTCCCATTGTTCATGGGGCTTCCATGTCACCCCCCCTAAGTACCCCCCAAGTACACCCCCTCCCCTCACAATAAAAAACAAGAGCTTATTAAGGCCTTATTAAGGCCTTAATAACGCGCTAATAAGGACATCCAAAAATAAACTGGGAATAAGGCTGGAATAAGGACATGTTCTTATTCCTCCCTTGTTCACAGCTTATTTTCTAAGAATCACAAGGCAAGAGAGAATGCATCATTTCAACCTTATTGACCCCTTATTTTCTGATAACCAACCAACATATCAACATATCATTCCTCTTCACAAGTTCATGCTTGAAAGTCAAAACAATCAAGAACGCAGCATCCTTGTCAAACCCTTCCCGGAGCTTTATCCACGAATAACGTTGGATGGGTAGATGTGGACGGTTGGGGGGGGGCAGGGCGCACAACAAATACAAACATTTCAGAACAAGCATTTGGGACTGCATGGTTTGTTTTTTTTAATTTTCACAATTTATGTTCCAAGATTGCTTGAAAATGAATGTTCTTGTTCGCATCAACATTTATTTGATACATATATTTTTTGCTTATTCCTTGATTATTGCATACTCGTTTGGGCTTTCAATTTAGTTTATGTCGACATGCTAATACCATCTAATACCATCTAATATCTAATTTACATCAATTATCATCCATTTATGTGCACAGCTACTTGGAATCTCTCTTATCGTTGATGTTTTCGGTTTATTTTTTGAAAAAAATCGCTGGCAGCTTGGGAGAATGATTGCAGTGATAGATTGCACTAGAGCAAATGAAACAATATCATATATATATACTGTATATATATATATATATGAACAATAAGATGTACTGTACAAGTACAGCCAATTTAGAATCAACACCTCCAGGCGTTGTTTGGTCTTTTTTTTAGATGAGACAACATGACAGGTGGAACTCGACATGGGCGATTTCCCCAATGTATCCGGTTGACATCCAAGTGGTCCTTGGTGCGCCGTGTTTCATGGTTAAGTCATGTTAAAACGAAATTAAATGTTTTTTAATGGCAAAAACACTACAGTGATGGTGATCCCTACATACTGGCTTTGCTTCATGCTCATACTGTACCTGGAAGTGCTTTGCACATTCAACCATATCTACATGCCGCATGTAATGGCTACTGTACCATTTGTTCAATGGGTTAGACCCGCCACCGAGTCCAGGTATCCTATTTGAATCACCATTTGTTTATACAAAGTTACAATTTTTCCTTGGTGTTTCTCGTTAAAATCAGAGTTCTTCATTCAAAATCCTCATGTCACTGAACCAGTTGAAGGGAACAAATGCAGGACCCCCTGCAATTTGTGCTGCAGGGGCTAAAAGCCCAGTGTTTCAAAAAAAACCTCTCCAGTCAATTCAATCATTGTAATCATTCCATTGCGGGCAGTGCTGAGAGGTAGCCGCTGCATCACCCATCACCCCAGGTTACCAACTCCGAGTTTTTTTTTTGGCTGAAATCGTTTAAAAGGAGGTGTCCTAAGTCATGGGATGTCATGGGGGTACCCCCAGTCCTCATCCATTTTATATGATGGAATTAACCATTACAACCAACCATCCAGCGATAAAGGGGATCCCATGTACCACCAGAGCTTCGCCGCGGACGCGGAGGTCTCATCCCAGGCCATTACCCCGGCGCTGATGATGGACGTGGACAAGGTGAATCCGTCGGGATACAACGGTGGCAACTGGATGAATAGAATCATCAAGGAATGCTGGTGTCATGCTGGTTTCAAAAAGGATTCTAATGGGGATAAAATACTATAAACGGTAAAAATTATAGGATTCTTTACTGGGGATAATTGTACTATACACATCTATATAAACCATCTATATGTATAACATCTATAAAGACATTTGATGAATCATGGGGATATTTAATTGGGGATGCCATGAGATTTTCACCCTGTGTCATCCAACGTGGCCTGGGGAAATCCCTGAACTGGAGGTTTCCAGCTGGAAAGTCATCGAACTAAATGGCTGATTTTCTAGCAAACCATGCTTGATTACCGGAGGGTAAAGGATCATGTCTCATATACTGTAGTTGAGGATTAAAGACATTATATGTATGATGAAATGAGTCACATTTCTGGGAAATTCTAGAGTGATTTGCCCAGAACATGTGGATTCTAGACGTCAAGAATGTATAAGAATGTGATATCAGCCAGCGATGGGGAATCTCACTCTAGAAACGGACAAGAAGGAGGAATTGCTCAAAGCAACACATGTTTTCCAACATGTATGGCCTGTATGGCGTTGGCAGATAGTCCCAGTACTGGATCAAGACATTTGTTGAGACCAGAATTCCAAGGCCAATTTTTCTCAGGGACATGAGTTGGTCATCATCCAGTGGATGAACATTTGATTGGATTGTTTATGGGGGTTTCCCGGGTTTCCCAACATGGGGGACCCCACATTTTCCAAGTCATTGGTTCTAAAGCATGAGAAAACTATAGAAAACCAATGGGTTGGGGTAGCCTCATTTTCACAAACCTCCATATATAATATATGTGAATCTGTTACCTCAATTTCACAGCAATTTTTGCTTTAATCATGAGACTTGAATACCCCGTTGTATGATGTTTTATGGCCAGTTCAATGACATGGAGTGTGTATGTCCAAAGATTGGCCATCGAATAGACGGGAAGATCTGTTCTCAACCATGAGATGGAAGGACACAAAAAATGCTGGCACTCAACCGTGAGGATCTTCGATTCTTGTTGAAGTAATCGGCACGGCAAGTTTTCGGAACAACGAGTTCAACGAGAGTGTTCGGAAGTCACGGACACGTGTCCTCAAGTAATCATTACTGGTTGGTGGGTTGGAACATTTTTTATTTTCCATTTCATATATGGGATGTCATCCTTCCCATTGACGAACTCATATTTTTCAGAGGGGTAGTATACCACCAACCAGATTACGTAACCCAAAGCTGGCTGGAAAATGGTCTGACGAATCAGCTGGGTGAGTCCGGAATCGACGCTTTGGCTCGGCAGATACCAGCATTCCATAGCATTCCCCCTTGGCCAAAATTCATGAAATCCTTCCGAAACTTCTTTGTCCCTCTTGCTGTTTTGCTTTCCAAGTATTGTCTTACATAGATGTGATAGAATTCCACCATATCAAAATTCATGAAGAAGACCAAACTCTCTTGGTTCCAGCTGTTCGCGAGTCGAAAAAAAGTTGCTGAAGATGACTTAGTCGAAATCCACGAAGCGGGGTCACATCCAGGGACTTGAAATGGATGATAGCTATACAATTTGAATCCCCATATTAAACACAGAAGAAACCAAAAATAGATCCAATACTGGGGATTTTTGAGGATTCGTCATTTAGTCATTTAGTATCATTTCGTATTAGTATTGGGATATGTTATACGTTCGATATGTTCGGGATATTTCAGAATTACCCATAGGATCCATGACTGGGGTATATTGATGGGATCCATGTTATAGCATACATGGATCCTATGGGTTTGGGAACTTCTGGGAGTCATGACCCACTTCCGGCGAAGGTCCTCTGGGGCCATGGCTGTGTAGTGCTAGAGATTGAGCACCGAAGCGACAACATGAAGGTGCCTGTGGGTTTCCCACGGGGCCTTCCAGGGTCAGGATGGCCTATATATAATAGATTATGTTCGGATACCCCAAAGGGGCATGACCCCTATACATCAACATTGGCGAATATTCACCATAAATACATTTGGATCCATTTGGGATATATGAAGACATTCCATTGATATACTAAGTGGCCAACAGGATTGCGGTGGCTGACGATTGGCGCAGTTTGGGGTACATATATGGGTACCTCTGCATGGCCAAAATTTGAACTCTACTTGACTATACGTCCCGACTATCAATGTGTTGTTCATTTGAATGGTGAACACTGGGTCATTGGACCATTGCAAGGTTCCAGTGAGGGACCGGAGGGTGCCTCACACAATGGGCAGGGGGCATGCTTTTTAAAACCAAGACCTACTGGTGCAAGCGTTGCTTTCTTGGCATACACCAGCTGGTTCGGTGTCCTTCAAAGATCAACTCAGCATCCAAGAAGTCTAAGTATGTCTACCCTCTGGTAAACGTGTACATAGCTATGGAAAATCGCCATCTTTAAGTTTGGTAAATCAACTATTTCTATGGGCCATTTTCAATAGCAAACTGTTATATAGTCATTACTGTACCAGAGGGTAAGTCTCAAGAACCCAACAAAAACATCGCATTTTTTCAGAAAAGCACAGCGTTTTGGAGACTCCGATGCCCTGATTCAAGGAGCACAACGGGGAGTACAACAAGGTGCAGATCAGGATCCGTTGCCCCGTGGGACTGAGGCGCGGTCTGCGGTCATGGTAGTGATTGGGGTCACCAAAGAAGCGGCTAGGGGGTAAAAACCTTGGTTTAGTGGGTTATAATGGTGAACATGGAGTGAAAATTGAATTACAAATGGGTTAAATCTGAGTTTTATCCTTTTTCTGGGGTTATAATGGTTAATAATGGTTAATAATGGAACATATATTTATATAAAATCGGATAGATTGGGATATAATTATATAATAATGGTGAAGAATGGAATACACATATGTATATATACTCATTATTACTTGGTGATTAATGGTCAAACATGGTGAGGGGATACCCAATCGATCATCCTCAGAGGTGGATGACCTTGGGCCCCTCACGAGTCTATCGGCTGCTGAGTTTCTTTACCAAATGTTTTAGTTAAGTGTTTTAACATAGGCCCACACAATGCAGCGGAAGCTTCACCATATTATCCATATTGGTGTTCTTGTTGTTCACACCAAATGGTTGGTAAATGGGATGATTTATTATTGGGGTTACCACATTGATGACCCTGTTGAACACCAAAATAGGTGGTGAATGATCATGCATTCAACCCTCAAAATATCTCAAAATATATATATTTACGGTAGAATACGTTCAGGACCTTGATGCCTACTTGACAGCTAAGCCGGAAAGACTGGCATGATCGTTGTCTGACCTTTGCAATCTTGCCATTTTGCTGCCAGAAATGGTGGGATGTCTATCGATGTCGGTGATATCCGTCACCGCTGGATGCTGTTCATGGCAGCCATCCAATTTGTAGTTCCAGCGCGATCGTTTTTGAGCTTCCCAAGTTTGGTTTTTGGTGCCTCTGTTGTCAACCACACTTCTGAAGTTTACTTTACCAAGCGAAAAATCATCACCACTTTCTGTTGGTTTTCCCCGTCTTGGTGGGTGGGTGGCTAAACTGTTTGTGCTGCTATACGTTAATCGCTCCATGGGCATAGAAATACTCTCCGGTGATGACAGTCAAACAAAAACCGTGACAAATTCCTTACAAAGTAAGATTGTATATATCTGGGTAAATTATAACGACCTCACTGCGACCTCACTGGAAAAAAGGTTAATAAGGGAAGGCATCCCCTAATGGCCTTAATTCAGATTAGTGACATGTTATAATTCACCCAGATATATGTATCTATATCTTTATATATATATATAATAGATAGATAGATAGATAGATAGATAGATAGATAGATAGATAGATAGATAGATAGATAGATAGATAGATAGATAGATAGATAGATAGATAGATAGATAGATATTATAGATAGATATTATAGATAGATAGATATGATAGATAGATATGATAGATAGATATGATAGATAGATATGATAGATAGATATGATAGATAGATATGATAGATATATATGATAGATATATATGATAGATATATATGATAGATATATATGATAGATATATATGATAGATATATATATATATGATAGATATATATGATAGATATATATGATAGATATATATGATAGATATATATGATAGATTGATAGATAGATTGATAGATAGATAGATAGATATGATAGATAGATAGATAGATAGGATATGATAGGATAGGATAGGATAGGATAGGATAGATAGATCGATGGATGGATGGATGGATGGGATAGGATAGAATAGGATAGGATAGGATGGATAGATGGATAGATGGATAGATGGATAGATGGATAGATGGATAGATGGATAAATGGATAGATGGATAGATGGATAGATGGATAGATGGATAGATGGATAGATGGATAGATGGATAGATGGATAGATGGATAGATAGATAGATAGGTAGATAGATAGATAGTTAGATGGATAGATGGATAGATGGATGGATGGGTGGGTGGATGGATGGATGGATGGATAGATAGATAGATAGTACCATCTGAACTACTTGGAGCAGTATACCAGGTATTTGAAGATTGATTTTGCCTATGAAACCCTGGTGCTTCGCTCCGTTTCACCAGGCTGGCGTGCTTGGTGATGGGCCCCGCCACCTGTGACGTGGAGGGCTTGCAGAAGGCCAGCCATAGACCGAGCTGCTGTCGGCGCCGTAGGAACATGGGTGACCTCAAAGAGAAACCAAGAAGATCCAAGAAGATCCAAGTCTTCCAGTCATCAAACGTGGCTGGGAAATCCCCTATAAATAGTGGGAAAATCAAAGGAAAATGAGAAAATCAGGTTCTAATGCGAAAATTATTCAAATGGTGCATTTTCCTGGATCATAGATATGGTATCGCATCGTCGCCATTATTGGTTCTGTCCCCTCAGTACATTATGGTCCATCCTAGTCAGGATTTAGAATCCAAACCATCCCATGTTTGCGTCCAAGGGCATGAATCATACTTATGTCTCCAAGTGTCGTGGGAAGACATTCGCTTTTAAAATAAACAAGTTTCTCTCACCGTCTCTCTGCCAGATCTACAGGTTATATCCAATGTTTTGTGCTTCAACAACTCATTTCTTGAGCAGTATTGATCAGCAAACATGTGACATACCCATTTCATGGTTTACCTCAGTATTACAATTCCATTGTTGCGGGTTTATCGAAGAAACATACACATGCCGAAATGGGTATGACTCAAACAGGAAAAGCCAATGGACCATAGTGAACCCACAAGTGTGTGTGTGTGTTTTAAAGTATATATCATCGATTTCAGGATGTATTTCATATTCACTATATAATTATGTATGGTATACAGACATACAGTATACATCATAGTATATCATTAGCTTTATAATTTTCAGGAGTTAAAAAATCCCAATATGTATTTCTGTTCACCTGAAAATTTTTGATCCATGCCGAGCCCTGGATGCTGCAGGTCTGCTGGGCTCATGGTGCAGAGGTCACTGCTCGATGGTGGGATGCCATGAACAGGCGCGGTGCTCCTGGGCATGAACAATGTGGTTGCTTAATGGTGGTTTGATGGGATTAAATTGGATTTAATGGTGGATTTAATAGTGATTATAAAGGTTTCATCAACAAAAAAAACAGGGATGTTAGTGGATATACCCTCTGGCAAACTAACAGTTTGCTCTGGAAAATCACCATGTTTCATTGGTAAATCCACGAACTATATAAGTGGCCATTTTCAATGGCTATGTTAGTTTACCAGAGGGTAACTATAGTTTGTCTTAAAATAGGGCACCCCATATTCCACTGGATTCTCATCATTTTCCCATTTTTCAATGCCTATGACTGGGGGTACGGTATCCCCGGTATCCGTTTTCAGACGTCACCTTCGCCATGAGTTTCAGGGCCTCACTGGGTGAGAAAAAAACACCATTTTTGGGGAAAGGATGAAGGGAATATGTTTGATTTGGTTATGAAAATGGGTATAGCCATGGTTGTAATCACCATGAATTGGGATGTGGGGCGGCTATAACTATAGTAACATGTATCGACTTATAAGTTTGTTTGAATATGTTTGAATGACATTGATTGTGTCCAGTGTTTGTTTTCTTTCTTTCTTTGCGAGATGTAAATCCAAAGCAATACAAAGTTTTTTTTGGTTTTAACAGTTACTGTTTGAGTGTTAAGTCCAACCTCATTGTTATGAGTATGAACATGATATATGTCCTACTGTTTGTTCTGAGTATGATGACAAAAATCTAAATATATTATGATAATTTACTATAATTAATATATTATATATATATATACACCAAATATATGCTTATATAGTGTTATATGTATATATTATATAGTAGATTGTGTTTGGGAGTGGGAGTTTCACGTCCCTTGTTCTTTTTATAGAGTACGCATTTTACTCTCTCCCATAGCATGGCTTCACGTTGGGAAACCACCAGGCCCAATGGCAAGTCCTTAGTGGTTTTCGGCCTGTCGCAAGTGCTGTGTCTCCTGGCTTCAAAAATTGGGATTTGATGGGCTTGGCGGCCTGAAAAATGGATAGACAACCATCCACATCTTGGGATTCAACCGTTGCTTTGTTTCTTTAATGTTCACCATCAGAAACTGGGACTTCACATCCAAATATCGGGATTCAAGCATTCAACCATCAAATTTTGGGTCATGAGTAGTGAGTATTAGTACTAAAGACCCAAGGAGTAAACACGGAAGCGGGAAGGGAGATAACCCACATTCCACTCACCAGACATAATGGGATTGTTTGCGATTCAGAGGGGATGGTAATGGTTGATATCGCTCGTAATTTCTTGGGATATGTTAGTGGTATTTTAAAAAAATGAAATTGACCCGAGGCAACCTATTTGGGCCATTGAAAATAGCCTGGTTAATTGGTGAGTTATACTACCTGAGTTCTTGGAGCAGGGAAACCTATCAACATCTATCAACCAACCATAGAATGAGGAGATTGGATAAGGGTCAGTCAGAAAAGCACTGTAGGTTGTGGCCTCAGTAGATGGTCGAAATTTAGCTCAAAGTTTCTGTATAGCCGAAGTACAGTTTTTTTATTTTTTTCCGTGCATTTTTGTTGGATCTATCGTACATTTAAGTGTATCTCCGAAAAGTTTAGTTGTCTATCGACTCATACGCAATTCATCCCAGTGCATCCGTTTGTTGATCCATTAAAAAATCCATTTATTTTGTTACCCTCTGGTAATTTAACGTAGCTATGGAAAATCACCATGATTAATGGGAAAATCCACTATAAATTGTCATTTTCAATAGCTATGTTAAATTACCAGAGGGTAATCTGTGTTAATATAATTTAATATATCAAATTTGTCTCTTCATGATGCTGGTCAATGCTTAGTTTCAAAAGAAACAAAGCGCCAACCATTCAAGATACCTCTATCAGAAGTATATATAGTTCTTACAGAACATATACATGAACAATGAGCACGTATCAAGAAACGTAACTTTAACTTTGCGTGCCCCAGTTGATTCTGAGGTGCATCCAGTTAAAAGAAAACGGGTTCCAAAAAAATATAACAATATAATATGGGACCCCGAGTTATAAGTTGGTGTATAAATGCGCCTAGCTACAGACATACCCACCATAACCCTAATTACCCTAGTGATACTACAAAAACCAATCCAACTTCGCAAGTTAAATCCCACTAACCCCCATCCAAAACCAATCATATAAACCACAAAAAGTCATCATATTTTTGCAGGAAAAATACCTATACCATCCTATACCTCAGTTAGCCCGGGTCCTCCAAGCAACCCAGGCTGCGAGGACGTCATGGATCTGGTCGTGAAAGAAGCCGGGCTGCCGGCGGCAAGTCCCACGGCCAATGGCGCCAGTGGCGCCAACGGTGCCAGCGACCGGGTGGCATTGGCCCACCAGCATCCCAGCATCAGTTTCCCATCCTTTTGCGAAGTTTCCCAAAAATAAAACCTGTCACCGCTCGTTTCTTGGAATTTTGCACAAACCAGCGGTTGTCTTTAAGGGTCTCTGATGGCCTAGCGTTCAGTATGTCCCAGGTCCGGAGGTCAGTGCTGAAGATAAACTGGCCATGCTGAAAGGCGGGCATCACGGTGAATTGGGCCAATGCGGTATACCCCAAGATACCCCAAGAGCCGGACCTTAAGATCGTCATTTCAGCCATGAAAAAATTGGACCATGCACTACCGATTTTTTTTGTATACTGCCTTTCCGATTTCTGGAGTGACTGTATGACATTGGCACAGATCGTAGCTCAGTATTGTTCAAGAAGGGGCAATCATGGAATAGCATATGCCATCTATGCCAAAATATACCAAAAAGCCATCCAAGACCTGATCATGACGCTTCAGAGCAACCCCGACCCGCTAATTTGCATTCGTTCTGAGATCCGAAATATTACTGGTGGCATAAATCTTGACCCAGGCCCATCCCGGCCCATGCCTATCACTGTTCAAATGTATATATATAAATCTATTCAAACATATTAAAAGCTTCGAACTCCCCATCCCCAGCTGCAGCTCAGCCTCCAGAACCGAAGTGGTGGATCACTGGCGTCGCTGTGAATGGTGGGCCCCTGTAACACTTTAGCAATAATATGCATATCATGAAAAAAGATGAAATAAGTAGCCACGTGTCAAGCCTGTTCAGAATTATTCAAGCCTTATATCCACCATCTTAAGCTGTTCAACCCCATGAAACTTATATCCACCCCGTTTCAACCCATGAAATCGCCGGTGAAGCCCCGTTTCAACTTCGAGGCAAGAGCACCTCCCTGCTGCGGAAGGTGATCCAAAACTTGCCCTTCACTCCTGGGGCCAAGGTCAGCCGAGAGGCTTTCCATGAGAATTCCATGGATATGTCATATAGGAATATATAGGATATGAATGGGATTCAAATGGATTCAATGGGTATTACTGGGATATGATTGGGATATTATATACATACATATATATATATATATATGAGACATTTTGGCCCAGCTGGGTGATTTATTCATATTTATGACCAATGATCATGGGGAAATCTCTAATAGGCTAGTCCGATGATTGTCCCGTTAAAACCTCCATTCAGTTCGGGGATTTACTGGCCACATGTTGATGATTCCATGATATTCCCATGAAATCCCTATACATGTTGATGGAATGTTGATGGATTATAATGATTACATGCTCCCAAATGTTCCTGTGTCCGTCCCATGCAAATCTCCATGGTTTTTTCCGGGACTTCCCCACACTTTTTCCCACATTTTTCCCACAGATTCCCATGTTTTTTTTGAGGTGGTCTGTGCCGCCATGAAGCGTTTGGGCTGCCGCCTCGCCATTCTGACCAACTCAGGTCGGAGGAGGGCGACACTGGCTGCTCATACTAGTTACTAGTGATATGGTGGATGGAAGAAATCCTGCGCCAGTTGATAGGTGGTTTATCCCATTATTTATAGGGTTTGAACCATCCAAGGTGCTGCAGGATTTCTTCCATCCACAGTATCTATATAGTTATCCTAAACATTGTTAAACGGTTAAACGACAAGGAGGTGTTAGATCGCATCCTTGGAATGTCCGTTGAAGTGCAGCGATTTCTCGTGGCCAAGATAGGACCGTTGAGGGCGGCACTTGAAGCAGCGGCCATGTGGACAGGTCACTGGCCTTGTCATCGCGAACTGGTTGAGCTCCCATCTTCCAAGTTCACTCCAGGGGCTCATCCCCCATCTGGAGAGATAGATGGCCTAGACACAACGAGAACGCCGAAATTCGAAGAGGATTTCCTACCTTCAGGAACTCAAAACCTAAGTTTTGAATATTGTGTTAAATAAATGGTAAAACTATATTATATGTTAATCTGTGTTGATATATATATATATATACTACTATATGTTAATTGATATAGTAACCGATATATATATATTAATATATATATATGTTTATATAATTATATATACATAGTTGAATTTTGCTGCACTTAATATTGTTTAGTAAATATTACATGTTACTAATGTATTTACAGTGAATGTTACTAAGGTGTCGCTGGTTAATAATCATACCATCCTTTAAATGGAAGTTGGGAGATTTTCCATTGGTGCGTTTGATTACTGGAGGGTAGCTGTATGTAATAATTATATAGTGAATATCTGAATATTTATAGTAATATTTATTTGTAGTGAATGTAATATATTTATAATAGTTATGTCTATATTTAAACCAGCTTGTAACTGAGTAATGTACACTTATAAGATGATGTCTCTGTAATATTTTACCAAGTAATAATACAGTTACATCTATAGTGAATGGGACACAAAACGCAAAAACAACGTAGAGCTGGGTAATCGAACATAACTATATACTTGGAGAATCATCCCAGGGATTTTCAGTTTAGTGGCTAAACACATCCTGCTGAGCGGCACGGTCCCTGTTCAGTGTAATCCCATGTGTAAATGAGTGATGATCAATGACTATCATACTGGAGTAAGTAACTTGGGTGCAGTTCCAGCTATAAGTGGCTTTCTATATATAATAATATACATATTAATATATATGTATATAATATATATAATATAATATATATATATAATATGTATATTTCCAAAGTTATGGTGGCCCCATCTCTCAATTTGTGGGGATTACGATCCCATGGTTTTTTCCCGTGTTTTAACCCCCACCCGCGACCCCAAGTGTGGGGATCCGGCAAAAGCTACAGTATGTCGGCTTACTTCCCTAGCTAAAGTGTGGTTTCTGCTAGATACATGAAGTAGTTGGGGTGAAACTAAACCAACAAAGATGTCAATCACTCCCCTTTTCCAAAGGAAGACCCAGCCAACTATCATTCGGCCCATTGATCCGATCCGGGTCGATCCGGTTCCAGGTATGCGGGAGATCGCGGAACATGTGAAAAGCACACTGGGCTTTGACTACGTGACGCTAGGCGTCAGAACGCCTCGTGCTGCGGATGATACCCATTGGTTTGGAAAAGATGTGCTTTAGTCGGATTTTTTTTTTCTGGGATTGCTGCTTCAAGGGAATTTCATCCTTGTTGGTTAACTGCCACATTCATCCCATACTTGGCCCTAGCATATGTGTTGTTTTTTGTCCACTTTTTTTGAGAGGTGTATATTTTGCACCTTCATCTGGGATGATCCCCCAGTGAGTTCGATGATGTTCCATGGTCACTTTGGGTTACCAGAGGATAAATACATGTGTTGAATCAGTCGTTCTACAATTAGATTCAGTTAAATCAGTAGTGGTATGTTTAGGTCCGTTTAGAGTTTAGGTATGTTTAGGTTAATACAATTACTGGTTGGTGGTTTGGAACTTGTTTTATTTTTCGATATATTGGGAATAGTAATCCCAACTGACGAACTCATATTTTTCAGAGGGGTAGGTATACCACCAACCAGATTAATATTCCAGCGCTAGCTCGTGGGCATTGAATCAACCCCCTTCAGTCGCTGTCGGTGATTCGCCCTGAAATTTATGGCCGGGAACGTGGCTGGGAACGTGAAGCCTTCTGATTGAAATTGGTGTAATCCCTATGCTTCTTGCTGAACAAAACTCACAATGTAAGTTTGGTTGCTAAGATGCCATTGACGAGTCCACTTTGACCCCGATTTGTTTTTGATCACTGCTTGGGGCTCCGTCTTTGATTTTTTTGGATGCAGTTGTAATGTAATAACATCACAATTTAATTCTTGACATATTAACATAAACTCTGAAACTACTTTAGATATGCAAAGTGCACCCAGAACACTGCATTCTCTTAGCATCATGTGGTTGGATTTCCTATTAGAATACCCCTTTCCATACCATCTTGAGTGAGCTTACTGCTTAAACTATGGGAATTCAATCAACCATCTCTACATCCTTTCGTAATGTGTAAGCCTCACTGCCGGGCCCCGGTTGCTACTGACATCGCTTTGGCAGATCGCTCAGGATCTGCCGCGACGTGGAAGTAGAAGACGGATGCTTCACTGGGAGGCGCCGGAGTGATTGAGAGATATGTACTGTAGGTTTCCTAAGTCATGGGGGTATCCCAATGGCTGGATGGTTTATAATGGACAATCCTATTAAGATTTGGATGATAACCGGGGATACCTCTATTTTAGGACCTCCCCATAAAGGATTTTACGTTGGATTATCATACTACAGCAATGGACAGTATTAATGAGTATCCACCATTCTATCCGTGTATGTACTAGACTTTGGGTATCTTTAATCTATGATAATCTATGTATATTATATACGCATAATATATATATATATATACATTAGACATACATCATAGAGAATAGTTCAACAGTTTTAACTTCAACTTAAACTTGTTCCCATCGTCTTCGATTTCTGAAAGGATGGTGGTGTACTTGTCTTCTCTGTCAAGCTTCGGCTTTTAGGGGAACTGGGTGAAGCTTCACAAGATTTAATAGGACTTAGTTTGACATGAATTGATATTCATATCTCGAAATTCGAAACTCAGAAAGATATCTCAGACATCTCATAGTTTTTCCCATGGGTTTTCCATCGTTTTGTGTTGGCCCCAAAACATCCCACCTCCCCCGGTCCCTCCAGGGGTCTTTGCCGTGGCCTCGGGAAAGGTATCTGGGGGAGCTGGCCGAAGTGAAGTTCCGCAAGATCGACCTGCTGAAGCTGATGGCGGAGCGGGAAGGCGGGGTTGGACGACAGGGATGGGAAAGGGTGGGTTGAATGGGACTGTTTTGATGGGGGGGTTTGGATGTGTCGAACAACCATGAGACATAGGGTTTTTTCAGGAATAATTCATGGGCATATCATGGGAATAGTATGGTTCCAATGGTTTGAATGGAGTTCTAAACCAAGAAAGATCGAGGATTTAATGGGAATCCAATGGGTATAGAATAGGGATAAGGGAAGATCAGGTTATAATTGAGATGTAAGCAAGAATTCTGGGTCAACTCGATGAGTACTTTGGAACCATGAAAGTTATGGGTTTGGTAGACTAGGTGACTAGGTGGTGGGTCTAGACTGGTCTAGTTTCATTCGTATTTGTATTACATTGTCCTATATGTTCCTGCAAATGGGTCTACAATGGTATAGATTAATCAGCTCTGGCTCTGGCTATGTTTCTGTTTGCAATGCGGTGGTCACTAGTGGTGAAGTGGCCATTGTTATTTCGGAAGGAGTATTGATAATTACAGCCTGGTAAAAGAGAAAATGAAATTGTTATTGGGTATATAATTTGAGTAGGAAACTTAAACCATTCATTGAATCTGGACGTGTTCTGTCTAGAGTCTAGACTTAAACATAAAGACGTTACCCATTCAAGATGGGGATCTTGCCATCCTCAGAGGCTTCAAAGCTTCAATCGTAAGGAACTGCCTTACGATTGAAATAAACTCCAAGAAAGGAAATTCGACAATAGGTGAATCCACGCCACTCAGTAAGGGTAAGTAATATCCTATTTATATACTTACGAAAATAACGACCCGTTTCGAAATTCAATAGGTGAATCATCTACATTCCCAGAAAGATGTCGAACATATATATACATATATAGTCCCAAACAAATAGGTTTGAGAAATTAGGGCTTCTTTTTTTGCGGGGTGCAACTCCAGTTATAAGTGGTTCTATATATCCCAAATTATGGGGGTTATTACTACCATACTTATACCCGATGTTCACCCCAACTGCACCCCCAAGTATTTGGCTGGTTTATCAGTAGCTTAACTAGGCTTACTGTAGGCGTATCAAGATATATCATGTTTTTTTTCTATAGTATGTTACTAAACCAACTTATTACTAAACATGAAGTTACACCATTATTGATAGTATGTTATTATAACCCAGAAGCTTATAAACCAATTTATTCCTAAAGGTGTTTCTTTACCCGGAACTGGGCACCCCCAACCCCCCGAACGAAGGTGTGGCCTGCAGAAATGTGATCACCGTGGGTGAACCTCTGAAGGGGCTGAAGGCCAGGTCTTTCGGGTTCCAGTCTGAGAAGCCGAAATTTGAGCAGTGTTCAAAGCCCCTGGTTGATGATTAGTTGATTTATTATGGTTGATTTATAAACAGTGTAAACAGAAGCCATGATAAGCCTATTACTATTATTATGGTTGATTTATTAATCGTAATAAGTTGTAATAACCCATAATAACACAGTATGTATTTTCATTTATTATGGTAATAGGTTGTAATAAGAAGAGTAATGAAAAATACAACCATAATAATGGTGATAAACAATAATATTAGCGACACCGATAATAATGATAATAATGATAATACTGATAATAATGGCAATAATGATTAATAATAAGAAGAACAATATTGCTACTAATAATGTTTACCGCAATAATTAGTAACAGTTACTATACAAACAAATGGCAATAGATGACAAAATTAATCTATGAAATATTGATTTAGTGGATTACTATTTGCTGATTATAGAATACTATTTGATGTATAGATTAGATTATACGCTATGGTGGATTCATCATGTTTAAATGTATTATGGATTCTATCATCATTTTTTAGAACACTATATATATATATATACATGAATGAAGTTTTTGGTGGATCACTATCTAATGTATCTTATGTTTAATTATGAATGATTTTTAGTTTGTTCTGCCTTGGGATGGTCACTGCGTCATTGCCTCAGCGGTCACCACCAGCTGAAAGTGACCATCCTGGAACAGAAGTTCCACATACCCTCTGGTTATTTAACATAGCGACCTGATTAAAAATTGGTAGATTATGTATGCTGATGTACCTATTTTTAAATCGTGATTTTCCAATATTTCCCCGTGGCAACTGCTAAAATAATCAGGTACGGTACTTGCCATGTTCAATCTGATCAGGTACCTTTCGGGGATGGTGAACCAGCTGCCTCAACCATTTAGAAAGGGCACGTTTTCGTTCACGGCCCTTTCTATGGTGAAAATGATGATGACTGAAATTCCTGGATCGCAGTGATTGATCAATTGATCACCATTTTCACCCTAGATCTGCCAGAAATCACTAGATCTAGCCAAAAATGTCCCGATCTGTCGGAGGCTGCCAATGCGCGGTTGATGTTGGAGACCTTTGGGCCCACGGTGTATTTCAATGCCAGCAAGCGCCCGGCCTGGATGCTAGGGTTGGTAGCTTCTGGTGTTTGTTACCATCTGGTAAACGTTTACATAACTATGGGAAAATCACCATTCTTAATGAGTAAATCAACTATATCTAAATGGCCATGTTCAATAGCAAACTGATGCGAACTGTTGGTTTACCCATTTGGGAATGGTTTTTATAGCACCTATAAAAATAGTGATTAATTTGGGCGATGGTTTATTATTTTTTGTTTTACCCACATTACCAACTACAAATGACAATTTTCAATAGCTAATGATGTTAGTTTACCAGAGGGTTATTTTCCAAAAACAAACATAGTTACCCAAGCTTTAAGATGCTTTAAGTATGGTTTATGACATTGTTTCACCATGTGTTACCCATTTCTTTGTTCGCTTCGTTCCCTTCCGAGGCTCTCCGATTTGACCATCGTTCTGTACCTCCTGGGCTTCAGCGGCTCCGACGTCCGCGGCCTGCGCAAGCGCCGCTGGTTCGACGGCGACGGGCCCGGTGGCGCGGCGCCGGCCGCGGCGGAGAACTCGGCGCCCAAGGAGAGCAGCAAGCGATTTATGGTGCAGGTGGGGCATAGCCCGTAGTGAAACGTGGTAAATGGGAATGGTTTAGCGGAAAATCCACCATTACTGATATTATCTTATATGTTCCCATAAAAATCTATAAGGTTTCATAGTGGATTTCCAGTTGCCATGTTTGATTATCGGAAGGTACTGGAGCCAGGGAGTTGGGAAAATCTTCGAAATCGTTGGGGGTACCTTTGTTTTTGAGTAGAAAGCAAAGACATCGAATCTTAGGTTTGGGATGGCTTGGGGTTAAAGGGGGAGATGGTTTTTCAGGAACAAAACTATAGGAAATCTCGTCCCAAACATGACATCATGAGATGGGAAGATGATGCTTGAAGGATCTTGGAGGTGCAGCTCAGGGGTGATTTGTTGCATAAGCATGGGAAAAAAAAACAGCCTCCAAGTTGGGATGTAGTTCCTATATAGTTCCTATAATTGAATATCGCCAATCTACTGTAGCTACTTCCTAAGTGGAACTGCACCCGCAAGTGGTTGGGAGATGTCCTCAGAAATGATGGTTAAAGGAACCAAAGCAGCTAGTAGGGGGAATCATGCCAATCTCTGGTCAGTCCGCGGAACTGATGGTTAGAAGATGTCAAAACATAGGGTAGAGCATGGTCAACACGTGTGAGGGCTTTAGCATGGAACATATTGGTGAAGCAACTAGTAATGGGGATAGTCGGATGAGAATGCGTTTATACCATGTACATTGATTCTTGATCATGATTACAATGATTGACCTTAGGAACCATGCCCATGGAGGAATGGTTTCAATGGCTAGGCCCCCATGTGGACCAGTCATTTTTACTATTAATTACAGTATATATATATCGATTGGTTGAAGCTAGGTCAATTGAAAATCCCAAAAGATGAATCATCACATGTTCCATGATCAGACATGATCAGTTTGGGGCAATTGAGGATGGCAACATGGCCGTGCCATGGCCTTCGCCTGCGGTTGTTGGAGACGAAAAAAATGTGCCCGTGACGCCTTCCCCTTGGTGTCGAAAACGCGCGCCTTGTGTAGCTTGACGATTGGCGCTTCAATGACATCGTGTCCCTGGCGCTTCAGCTTTGGTTTGTGCCAGTGTCGCCATCGCCAGGCGAATGCACAGATGTTGACATGATGGTGAAACGCTGCCAAGGGGTGCAGCTGGACGTATCCTGCTCCATTTTCAGACATACTGGAATAATCTGGAATATATAGATGGGATAATATATGGGTTTGTTTGAACATAACGCACCCCTAAGTCCACTGGTTTCTCAATGGTTTCCCCAGTATGTATAATATATATATATTACAAGATTCAATAAGATTTTTTTAAATATATATACGGATATACACCTCCTTGTCATATCCATCGGGGTACCCCATGCCAACATCCCCCAACATCCAACCATTAGGTGAGCGCAAAGAGCCGCAAAGCCGGACAGTTGTCGAGCATTTTCCAACCTTTGGCGCCTGTAGGGTAGCTTGGAATGGTGCTGGTGAGGGATGTCATTCCCCCACGCCTGATCCAAAAAAAAATGGCTGACCATGTGGATGTAGATACCCTCCAGTAAACTAAGAGTTAGCTATGGAAAATGGTCTATTTTGATGATTTGCCCATTGTTTGAAGCTGATTTTTCATAGCTTTGTTTACCAGAGGCTATTTCACAAACTTCGGAATGGCGACCAGTTTGTGGGGAGATTAATTTGTAGGGAGATTTGGGCATCTCAAAAAGTACTTTTTGAGCAAAAAGTGTCTCGTGCTAACATGTCATAACATCTCCGTGTCTTACAATGATTTATAACGTGAAAAAGTGAAAAATGAAAAGTAAAAAAACGATTTATATTAGATTGAAAAGGTTTAAAAGTTATGCACCAACAAACATTGAACTGACATGATAATTAGTATCCTTGATGGATGTGGCATGGTCAATGGTTGTCAATTGAGTCAATTGTGTCTTATTATTGGCAATGAGAGCAGAGCTTGGTGATGGAACTTCAATCATCAAGTTTACTACATTGCCAACATTACTATTTATTTGGCATGTCTAGTACCTGTGTTTGCATATGCCCAGGATGTATGAAACCACATTTGTTTGCACAACGTTCTGGACAACAAATTAGTCTACCAAATTTCAGATTAGCCTACCTAAATTTCAGAAATGCCTATGTCATTTTCAAATCACCTAGGCATTTCTGAGATCAGGTAGGCATTCCTGAAAATCATAAACGGACAAACCCCTACAAACTAATACCCTACGATCTGGGATGCATTCTTAAGTTTGTGACTATTTGAATTCATCCAACATGAATTGTGTGGTAGTTTTCAGTATTGAAAATACGAACCATTGCGTTGCCGCGTTGAGCCATGGCAAGTGGAAGTCTGCAGGATCCCTTGAAGAAAATACTCAGGAAAAGATGGATAATATGTTCGGCAACCCAGGACTATGTTTCGATTCATCATTGCAATGGGAAACCATCCTTAGAATATTTAATTAGTAGACTGGTCTCAAGTCAGGTCTGGCATTTATGATGATATGATTCATGAAATTATACACTGTAATAATTGAAATTATATATATAATACAGTATTATATATATAGTACTATTTATATTCTATAGGTATGTATATGCAAACCATTCAAATCATGGTCAGTGAATCATATGTTCCATCCTCCCCAGGGATGATCTGAGGAAAGATGTGCAGCTGACCACCATTCGGCAATGCAGCTTGCAGGTGGGAAATATGAAGGGGGGGCATGATGTTTGATTATTTGGGAGATGAGTTGATGTTTTTTTTCTGTCACAAAACAAGAATAAGAACTGGGGATATAACGAGTCAACTATATGAGATGGGGGTGTTTGAAAAGTCATATTCTACTAAAATAGTATAGTAGATATTTTGCTTTTGATATTTAGCTTTTGATATTTAGTTTTTCCTGCATTTTTGTTGATGGTTGGAAACATGGGGATAACATGTCATCGACGCGACGCAGAACATGTAGGGTCCAGCAACTCCAATCAACTTCCATGTTACCCACAAGTAAGAATTGCAACGTAGTCAAGTTTGAGGGTTTAATACGTGCTACATGTTGCAAATTGATACATACATATATATATATACATTATATAATATATTAATATATGTTGAATAACATGTATATAAGAACACACATATAACATATATTATACATATATACATGTTGTACATGGGTATACGGACTTGGTTGCCGCCGGATGCCGATCTCCCTGCGCTATTTATCTCATCATATCCTCAGAATGTGTACAGAATAAACAGTTATGTGTATGCAGTAACTGCAGTGTGTGTGTATGCTAATTATCATGATGATATATTACGATATAATACAATATATATATATAATAATGGTAATAATTATTAATAATAATAATGATAATAATGATGATAATAGTAACAATTATTATTTTTAATAATAATATTATATATACACACACGACATAATTTGAATATAAGTTTCTATCATGATAGCAAGGGTCAAACAGATGAAAACCCGAAACGCTTCGCTGGGAACCAACCGGAGATCGGTTCTTTGCACACGGCAAGATCCTGGATCACATGGCGCTTTCTCGAGAAGTTTCGGCTGCGATTTTTGCACATGAAATCAGCCATTGATCGGCTGCCATTCTGAAAAGACTGAGCGACGTCAAGATTTGCTTGAAATCAATGAGATCATTATAAATTCCCATCCAGGGTTTTAGCAATTTTAGCTCTTCGTAGCCTTGAGAACAAAGCTTAAAGAACTCAGAGGCTCCGAGGGTGCTAAGAAGCCTTGGCTTTTTAGTCGTGTCCCCAACCACTGTTTCCGGAAAGATAAATCCATTGAAATTCCAATGTTTGAAGACTTCCTGGTTGGTGGTTCGGGACATGAATCTTATTTTTCCATTCAGTTGGGAATTTCATCATTCCAACTGACGAACTCCATCATTTTTCAGAGGTTTTTTTTCAATCACCAACCAGATTAGATATAATATATATATATATACATATGTCTAACAAACACTATGATATGGCGTTGGGATGAAAATAATTTTCATCATACCGCTGGTGTTTGAAGACTTCCTGGTTGGGTCAGTTTATCCCCACGTTGAGAGGATGGTGGCATGTGCTTGGGCCTGGACTTTACCGTCCTCAAGGCGCGAAAAGAGCTTGATGGGGTGGGGGTTTTGGGTGAGGTCGAAGCGACGGTCGAAACGTCGAAAGATGAGTTGTTTTATGGTGATTTAATGGGACTTAATGGGACTGAATGGGAATTTATAGGAATTTATAATGATCTCATTGTGATTTAATTTGATTTCATGGTGACTTAAAATGGGATACAATGAAGGAACCAACAATATGTGCTAAGCTGCTATGATCAAGACTTCGGTAAATTATCCAGCTCTTGAGGGATGGTCATCAATCTTTGAAAAGGGCCTTTGTACCCATTTTATGGATTCCTAATTTGGGATGGATGACTACAAGCCATATACATCCATATACAATATGTGCCCCTAGCATATGGGGATATAATTACTCATTGGAAATTTAGCATAGATATGGAAAATGACCCATTTATAGACAGATGATTTACCAGACATAGTGATGTTCTATAGCGCTATGTCAAATTACCAGAGGGTAATAGAACACATGGGAAACTTCACGATACAATGCTATATGACAGGATCTGCAGCAGAATATCCGCATACTTTTGAGGGAAACGGTCAAAAACGCCTCCGGTCCATTTTTTGGATTTTCATGGCAGTTGAATGGCGATCAATGGCGATTGATGGCGATCAATGGCAATTAATGGGGATAAAATGGGATATCTAGAGCCAACAAATAATTGAGCAGCATCAAAAACCTCCATGAAGGGATTTAGTATTCGGGTTCATGTGGGGAAGCCCCCGCGAAAGCCAAACCTTCACGCGCGAAAGCGGCGCGAAAGCTCCGCGAAAGGAGTGCGTCAAGGTCGAGCCGCGAAAGCAGTGGCGAAAGCAGGTAGATAGTAGAAGCACATTTAAATATACATGTGCACCATCATTTACGGGCAATTTTCCGCGAAAGCAACCGCGAAAGATATTACGAAATACATGTCGCCGCGAAAGCCAGAACTGTGCGCGCGAAAGAACCGCGAAAGCCGTCGCGAAAGCTTATAAGGATTAGAACCAAATCGCTACCCGGTTTTCGACGCCGCTCAATTTGGTTTAGGCCCTTTAGGCATTTGTTTTCCACTGTTCTCAAACATTGCGATTGCTGGGAGCCCCCCTATATATAAATGATTATAAATGGACATCTATATCAATTAGAACATGATCTAGAAATGCTGAACTTTCCAGCAAAGGCATCTAATTACCAGAGGGCAAAACTGAGATTGTGTATGTATATTTCCACTGTCAAAATTGTTATGGGTCAACAATCGGGCATGTACCTCAAGGGACAACAACGGGCTGGTCATTGCTGGATGGTGGAAAGTACCAGCAAGGCTGGCATCACCAAAGCAACACGTCTGAACACGCATGTTGGATGATGACTAATGTGTGTATTACTGTAGTCATATTTATTGTTAAGATATTGGGATATGACATGACAAAGACTTATTTTTTGCATCACAACTGAATCAAATTAAGATATTATAGAAACACCAGCATCGATAGGAAGGGTATCCATTGAACCAAGAGGTGCACAATAATTCCAGCCAGCTACAAACACTTTGTTTGCAGGGTATTTGTATCTACTGTAAGATGTTGTGTTGTTTGGTATGACAAAAAAAAACATCCCAGAACGATACTTTGTCTCCACATCTGAAAATGACATAGATGTTTTCCCTTATTGGGTGACCAACAAAGGTTGTTCACTTCCCTGGCTGGTTTTGTTCACAACCAGCAGGTTGCAAGTAATGACACCATGAATTTCGACCCGGAATGGTCGCTTGAAATGGTGAATCAGGGTGTGGTTTCCATTGTTCAAGGATGAAATTCCAGAGTGTTGGATGGTTTTAAAATGTTTTAAAGATGGTTCAACCAACGATCTGCGACTTGCGGTCACAGGAAAAACCGGATGTTGTGGTGAAGAATTTGCTCTATGCCTGCCAGCAGGAGCTTGATGTTATTGCTCAGAGCTGTAAAAAGGGGTGGATTAGTTCCCCCCTTGGTGTAAGAAAAGGGACTGGTGTGTATATGGGTATGGATCAATACCTATTAATACCATTTTTAGGGGAATGACCATCCATTTACCAGCTATTTTGGGGTTCACTAGGTACCAGGGTTTTGACCCATCCCCATATGTGTTTCTGTATATCCATGTATATCCTGGGGTTTAACCACCGACGATTCGATTAGGATATAAAACCCACCACAACCAATACGTTTTGTGGGGTCAACCCCACCGCAATTGGGATGTCGGGGAATTAATAGTCACTTGCCCCTACCCTCTGATATAAACTAACGTAGCTATGCAAAAATTGTAAAATCACCATTTTGAATTGGTAAATCAACATAAATCAACTATAAATAGCCATTTTCAATAGCTTTTTGTGTGTTTAACAGGCCGGGTACCCCTCATCAAAAACCTGCTGAAAAATGCCCAACTCGTGGGATCGCTGTGGTGGTCAGTTCCACTTGACGGCAGCGAGTTACCCCTGGTTGTAGTTGATGATCGCAGGGGATCTTACCATATCTTACCATATATGGGTATGGATCAATACCTATTAATACCATTTTTAGTGGGATGAACATCCATTTACCAGCTATTTTGATGTTCACCAGGGGTACAAGGTTTTGACACACTGCCATATATGTATATGTATGTATAGGGAACGATAATTATCCATGAAACCAAGCAGTATTTCATGGCATGACGTTGCGTTTTTTTTAAACACTGCTCACTTGACGACATTGGTTTTACTCCTTGGGTCTTGGAAAAGAATTTTGGGTTCCGACAGGAAAAGATGACCATCATGGACATGAACGACTCAGTCAAAGATTTCAATTGGAAGAGTCGCTACGCCAACAGATATGTCCGGGAACCCATGGGAACCCGAGCCGCTGGCGATTCAGGATGAAATCAACTGGATTTGTGCTCCTGGTCCTTGACTACAAGGGCCATGAACTGGGGGCCCAATCCCCATACTTGCAGTACAAAGAACGCCATTTGAACTGGTTGAACGGAACATGTACAGGGAAACGATGTTTGTCTTCAAATAGAAGTGTGGTTTAAACCATAAAAATAAAAATCCACAAAATGTTCCAGCAAAGCTGTATGTAAGTCATAAACGGATATAGCCATGTCAGAAACACGCATATATATATAAGCTTGATAATATATATATATATAATTATATAATTATATATATATATATATATATTTTTATAAATACACACATTGACTTCGCCATAGATACGGCCATCTAACAATATAGAATCCGCCAAAACCAATCAATTGATGGTGATTATTTCAATAGTCATTGTTAATCACTAGGTCACCCATTGCTTTTGATGATTTTCCTGAATTCACGATTTAGAATATTGATATATCAATAGCTATAACCATATAGATGGTATATCATAGTGTATATATATATACACATACACATCATACACATAAGATAATGGTTTATCTATGTAGAATAATGTGTATGCATATGTTTGGTTTATATATATATCTGGAAATTGATATATTACATAATACATAACCATATATATATATATATCATATTTGTATGTGTATATATAATATATCTATCTATATATATATACATATTGTGAATCCATATATCTATTGTACACATCTATTACAACCACATATTAGTTATATCTATTATAACCATCTACTATATATATAGTATACTACTATTATTTACATATCATAATACTATTATTACCATCATACTTGGATGGTACACTATAATTCGATGCTAAATTTATGGTAGTTAATTTAGTTTAATATATGTTATATAACTAGTTGTTAACTTTGTCTATAATTAGATGGTAAGTAGATAGTTAAGTACAGTTAGTTTGTATTTTTTCTATAGTTAACATAGTTAGCTATATTATATATATACCAGGTGTTGCATGTTAGACCAGAACGGTAGGTTTTTTTGAACAAACTAGGTTTTTTCTCATCACAACCTTGAATCTGAAAATCAGATATATGAAAACCGGGTTTTCCCATTGCTGCCCAGGCGCCTCGTGATTTAGAAGCCATTTTGGCTCCCTTTGGTGGTTGATGATAGATATCATGCAATGATATCAGGAACACATGCCTCAGAAAAGAAATGGTCCAGATAAAGAAATTGTATGATAAAGAACGGTTACATTTGATATAAGCACCACAGGATTCAAGCACACTATGATACCAATGATAGCAAATCCTGGGCTTAATGTCCCACAATGGATCCCCCATGAACCCAATCAATCCAACCCGACTGCATGGCCGCAAGTGTTTTTGCCATTGAGCAAGTCTGGATCTCAGTTTCCGCCTGCAGGCAGTGAGCGAACAAAGGCAGGCCAGGTAACAGGTCCCAATCAATCCAATCCATCCACAAATCAAAAACGAAGAGAAATGAAGAGAAGATCAAAGCAGTTTGGATTTTGATTTGTTTGTTGGATATACGTTTGGATCATCACAAAAGATTAGGATTTTGCCGTTTAGATTTGAGACCTATATGAAATCCTGACTTGAAATTTCCAGATTCAAGCGGCACATGCATGCATGATTGGTGACCATGCATCATGCATATATATAATCATAGCCAATTTGGCTTCAAACTTTGAGACAAGATCAGGTGTAAGGATCGATTCACTCGTGCCAGCCCCATGCCTCGGGCACCGAGAGCCGACGCAGCTGTCCGGTCGCCCTGCCTCGTGGAGGGGGTGTACAAGGAGTGGAAGAATGCTCCAGCAGTCCGCAATGTGGTCCTAGAAACTGACAGGCTGTTTCAGTCTTCGTGTCATGAAAGGAAGGCAATCAAGTTTTGTATCAAGGATGCAGTCTACAACCAATATGTTCTGGCCCCGGTGCTTTTTCGCATGGCAATGGTTGACAGTCACCCACTTCCATGTTTGAAAGTCTTGGCACGGGAGAACCTTGCCTTCTACTCTAAATATGTTTTGCATTTTGCTTGGTTCATAGCCATTTTCATCCCACATACAGACTTTGACTGGGGAATCGCATGACATCAACATCAGGGATGTACGTAATTCTATAATATTCTATACATGAGGTCCTTGGGAAACGGTATTTGTATATATATATATGTATATATATATATGTATATATATATGGATTCCATCATATTTCATCCTGGAAATTTCATAAAGCTCCAACCTGCATTGACCTATATATAATTTATAAGTCAATACATGGGTGTCAAATGCACATGCATGGGTACAGCCAGCCTACATGCCTGGATTCTCAGGATCAGGTTGTTCCGCACGAAGATGAACCTGGTGTGCCAGAAGGAAAAGAGCAAGCTTGACTGCTGGACCTTGAAAAGCATGCTGAGCTTCGTTAAGATGAAGACCCACAAACGGCTGGGTTCGAAGGTGTCTTGCTTCCGGATTCCTATGGAAACTATTATGTTTTTTGTTTATTCCATCCTAGGACAATCCTTTAATAGTTCTTTGATGAGCTGCATGTTCCAATCAATTATGCAAACAGCGCCAAACAGCCTTTCCATGTTGGCTTTGCAACTCTTTGGGCCCCAATCCAAAACCATAATCCAAACATGCGGAGCTGCAACCCTTTACATACCATGCTCTCACAAGACTATAGGACCTGCAGTTCTTGAAGCTCCAACGGATTCTGGACCCCTCGCTTCAGGCCAACTTGTTGCCAAAAAAAACATGTGGACCTAAAAGTATTGGAGGGTGGAGCTGTGTTTGAGGGATGAAACATGTGGGGTTGTTCGTTTAAAGTTTGTGTTGTTTATTGCACATTCCAAACTACACTATATATACTTGCAAGTTTAACTGGTATTGTAACATGTGATAGTTGCATTAATTTGTATAGTGTGTGCATGATATAGATTTCCAAATGTTTACATGCTGCAAGTATTTCACCTGTGTAAAATGCTGTAAGCATGCATGCATGCACTATACATGCATGTCATATCATATCTATGGATGCGTGTCCCAGCCACTAAAAGATATATATATATATGATATGCATGGTTTTCATATTCAGTTTTCAATGCCCAGTTTGTTAGAACTTTCCAAAAAAAAATATCCATGTGCATGCATGCACATATTTCTCCCCCGGCAGCCCCGCTCTCGCTCGGCTGGTGGTGATTGTGAAGCTGATTTCGATTTGGATGAAGAGATTGCCCCGTGTGCTGAAGACAAGGTGGTCTTCAATTCGTCTGATGAAGAGGAGGAGGATGACAGCTGGTTCGATGCCCTAGTGACACGAGCACTTAGTGATGTCTCTGACATGTCTGCCCCAGATGATTTTCCCGAAGTTGCCCCGACTGAGCTTGATGATGATACCCAACCTGTTGATGATTCCCAACCTGTTATGGATTCCCAAGTCCTGATCGTTGAGCCTGACTCCCAATTTGTGGAGGCTGATGATTTCATGGGTCACCAGCTCGAACCTGTTGAACCTTTTGAATCCCAGTTGGAAGCCTCCCAGGGGCCTGATTCCCTCCCGCTGGATTCGAAGAAAGGTTTGGATGTGAGCTCCCGCCCTGTGGCACGTCCGCTTCAGGCAACTGAGGACATGCATCCTAAGGCATGTACCGACAAGAATGGCAGCAATGTCATCAACTTGGATGGTGATGACACTCAGGATGTGAAAGGGAGCGCAACTGAAGCTGCAATTCGAGCGCGTCGCATTGCTAGCTTGAAGGCTAAGATTGCCCACTTGGAAGCCATGCAGGTTTCTGTGTAGGGGCCCCGGTTGTTTCAGTAGTGTTCAATTCTCATCTCCTGTATCAAAATTGAATGTGTGTGGGCTTGTTTTTCTTGCTTTTGTGCATGTGTGTGAGTGCATGTGTGTTAACATGTTTTGTTTCGTGTGTATAGATGTTCAGTCTGGTGTTTGCATATAGTTGGTTATGAAAGCTAGTGCATGCATGTTGAAAGAAGATCTCGAAGCACGATATGCATGCATGAACATATATATGTGGTTTAAATACAAGTCCATGCATGCATGTATATGAATCAATGATTACAACGAAAAGAATTATCCAGCTTTGTGCACATAGCTAAGGTTTGCAGAGTGTGCAGATGAGGGGTTGAATGCATCAGCTGGCTCCAGTGTCGAGGTGGAGAATGTCGAGGTGGAGAAAGAGTCATGGCTTGTGACGGAGTCCCTTCCGTTTGGTTCCGATGTTGACCAGACCTTGCCCATGGAAGTTGGGGATGACTTACCTGTTGGGGTTGGGGTCCTGCTTCAAAAAGAAGACAAACTTCAAAAAGAAGCCGAACATGTTGATTCAGAGCCCCATGACCCGGGTAGCCCACCGGGTGGCAATGCCAAGAAGTTCCCCGTGCCATCGCATCTTGAAGGGAAGGGTGATGTGAAGGCCAGGCTAATTTAAAACAAAAAACAAATGCATTTTACAGCGCTCTACGTAGTTTTTGTTTTTGGTTATGAAAAAAATCCACAACCTCAAATCCTTCTTTCCATCAGTTTTGTTTGGGGTCAAGGATTCTAGCATGCTGAAGAAACCTGTGTGTATGTCTCTGGTTCTGAAGTATTTCAGATATGATATGGTCAAACATGCCCACATGATATCTGTGTGATTGAAAAAATGTTTTCTGTTCATGTGCATGCATGCATCATCATGTATATATAATCAATTATATATATATATACCTATATCGATATTTTAAAATAAATAAATACATGCATACCACAAGTCATCCAACTTTAAATATACCTAGGCATGGATCGATACTGACACAATAATATGTTTATTTTATTCCTGCATATATATATATATGCATGTACATGCACATGCATCCAATCCAGGGGATATTGCATTGGCTTATTTGGTGCAGTGCCACCCTCGAGGTGCTGACCCGTCGAGAACAACTGCATCTCAATGCCAAGATGAAGGAGGAGAAACAGAACGGTGGAGGAACAACCAGAGGTGGTGGGAGGGGACGTGGGAGAGGTGGCAGAGGCAGAGGTAAGAAGATCCAGCCCAGCACCGAACCCTCGGGCCCAGCCCCTGAAAATGTACCTGAACCTCATGAGGTTGAGTCTGACATGGATTTGGACAAACAAGTGTCCTCATCTAAGCGTGCAACCATGTGCACCCCTGAGCGTCGCAAGTTGTTCCATGACACCGGAGATGAGATTTCCCCTTCAAAGGACAAAGACGACAAAGACTCCCCGCCCATCAAGCCCAAGAAGTCTAAGAGACCTAAACGTGCACAGAAGACCCCAAAGCCCAAGAGCAATGCAGCCGGTTCCAAGGATAAGCCTTCAGAGGAACCTTCAATCACCCCGCCTGAGACTGAACCTTCCAGGAATGTTGAGCCTGCTGAGGAGAAGGAGACTAAGGTGAAGCCCCCTACCGACCGCCAGAAGACTTGGGCTGAGGGTGTTCTGATGGATGCCAAGAATGATTCCCCGTCTTGGGACCATGTCACCAAGTTGTTTGAGGCCACCAAAAAGGATGAACGTGATCCCTACCCAAAGATGCACTACTGGGGTTTGAGCATGTACTATAACACACGTCGTGTGGGACTTCTTCAGCAGCAGAAAGGCAAGGGAAAGAAGGTTCATGTGATGAGCTTTTCCGGGGGAGCAGTGTGCACTCACATTGGCATCCCGCTGGCCGCAACCTGTTTGGTTGTCCGGTTCTTATTTGATTCCAAAAGCAAAGTGTAAAAACAAAACTGCGGTTACATGTGGACTTTTCTATATGTATAAGTCAATTTACTATTCAATTCAAAAATGACACCTTGTATTTGTAATGCGCAGTATGTTCCATATCTATATGCATGCATTATATTGCATTATAACATATGCAGTCATATGCACATGCATATTGGTGCAACACTGCACACATGTATAGGTTCACATGTAATCCAAACAAGAGAGTTATATATTTTCTTGACGTTGAGTTTTTCATGCATACCGGAGAACATCTTAAGCTGTGTGTGTGTGTTTGCATGTGCATGGCGGGGTTTCCAATCCTAGGGGAAAAAGGAGTGGGTTTTGGAATCATGGTGGTGTGTTCCCTGACCATCAGCTGGATTTCAATTGCCCTATGTTTTTTACATGCACCATCTGCATGTGGGATTCAGACAGCCCATCTAAGTCAAAATGAAGCAAATCTTGAGAAACAATTCATCTGTTTCACAACCTATATATCAGGCGCTATCATTGGTTTCCATGTCAAGTGTATTTGTTATAAGTTAGTATCACTCTGGGCCCCTAAGGTCAGCTTTGCTGGTGGTGACAATCCGGCTGATGAGTGCAAGAGCTTTGAGTCCGAGGAGATGGAAAACTACAAGCAGGCCCTTCAAGATCTTGTTCGAGCGGTTTCTATCGCTCATGCCCAGGGTAAAACCTTGGGTGATTATTGAGCGAGCCTAGTTTGGAGCATTTTCTCCAACCCATCCATGCCCTACTCATGGCGAGGAAGATATACATGCAGTAAACTATTCTTTGATTTGATTATGTCGATTGTGTAATTTATCATAATTTATCGTCCTATAGTTGGAAGCAAAGTTAGCAAAGCTGTGCTCAATCATATGTTGGGGCATGCTGGAAAATCTTGGGTGCGAACACCCGGTGAGAGTATCTTTCATGCGGCTATAGATTACATATATGTTGTGGGCTTGGCTTAGATTGCAAAAGCTGGCCACTGAGATTCTTCGAGGGTGTCACCAATTGCTAGGGGCCTGAATGTGCAGGGGATAAACTGCACGGATCAAATCATACCCTCATCAAAACACCAAGGTCTGATTTTAGAAAAGTAACTAAAATTTTGTCCATGTCAATGCTTGCAATATCCCCTGCACTATGGCCAACAATTGTGTGCGAAGTTTAGCGTGGTGTGGCCACGGCTTTGGGTCTATGCAGGCAAGCTATGCACCTGCAACTTGGATGACTGTAGAGCATGGTGGAGAAAAACATGTTCTGTGAATCCCCTTCCAGCTTTTGATGTCAATGACCTTATGCATGTGAATTATATAAGGATCATATCAATTTGTATATATATATATATATGTATATATATATGTATATATATATATGTATATATATAGTGTATAGATCGATCAATTATATATGCATTTATTTCGATATTATATATATATATATCGAGATATATGCATATATATATATATATAAGATATATATATAAGATATATAGATAGAGAGAGAGAGAGATTCATGCAATTCTGTTTATACTGTCTTATGCTTCATCCATACCCCGGAGGGTCTAAGGTTGGCATTAAGGTTCCTTCTCTTCCCAACTGCCCTTCCTGGTCCCAGCTTGCCCGGTCCTGAGGCCGCACGAAGCGATGGGACGAGCCAAACGCAAAGCCTGGCAAGTCCGTTTGGATGAGGGGCAGCTGGATGATGGGGATGGTCGAGCTGGCAAATTGAAATTGCGGGTGGATCTATATGATTATATATATATATACACCTTTAGGGTCTGTTCATATATATATATATATTTAATTATCCCCAATTTAATCTGGTAATGGTTTTCCCCTACAGCCAGTGCTTGTAAATTTATCTCCCGTGCGTACATACATATATATATATATATATATTTGATCCTGTTGATACACAAACTTGCCTGGAAGGGATCAAACACAATAAAAACCCTGACGGTGCTAGCTCTGTTGAACAGATATCCGAATTATCAGCTATCATAGTTCTGGCCTAGCCATATTGCATGGAATTTCAACAGAAGGTCGATGCAACCATGCATGTCAATCATGATTGCATGCGTGATTCAAGTAGATGAATGAGCTGATGGTAACTGTTTGCACCTGAAGTCGTGGCTCGATTTAGGGGTTCACATTCCATAGGAGGTTTGGGTTCCTACTGCGTGCTGCTATGGTGAGTGCAGACCAGATGACACTACCCGAGCTGGTATGGCGACTTCGTGTGGTGAGTGCACCCAAGGTGGAACCCTTACCCCCAAAAACAACATTTTGTGCATCCATGCAGCCTTTTCATCCCAGAAATACAGTTATACATAATGTCCATTCAATTGGTTTCTCAACCTGATACAGCTAGCCTACATGAATGTAATTGTTTTTTCTTTCATATTACCTGCATGTGCATGCATCCATATGTGTGATGACATTCAGGGTGGTTCTAAACTCCATACTGGTGATTACAAAAACATGATCACAAGAACATGTGTATTTAATCAACTCTTGGCCCTCGCACGATTCCAGGTGCTGACGGCATTGGTCTTGATGCTCCTATGGTCGTCAAATGTCCAGACATTGACGCAGGCTTGTGGATGATGTGGAACAAATGATTAATTGGGCGTATGAACTTGGAATTCATCCCGGGACAATTTCATGTGTTCACTCGATGGTGGCATTGCAACACATATAGTGTAAATGTTCATGTCTCAAGTTGGTTCATTACTCTGCACTTTTGTTTTGATAGACATTTCAGTAATATACATGTGTTTTCATTCCCATGTGTGGTTGGGCCCCATATGCATTATGCCCTGTGCAGAAGTATGACTTTGTGGAGCTTTGGGCTGGCCAAGCGATGGCTTCCACCATGGTTCGTAAGGCAGGACGGAATGTTGCGGCCCTGGACATCAATTACTTTGAGCCAGACCCAAAGAACCCACATAGGTCAAATCATTTTGACATTCTGACCGATTCGGGGTTCATGTCTCTTGGATGCCAATCTTTCATGTTTGAATGACGGCTTTACGATTTTTTGGTGCTTTTGCTGGCAATGACAAACCTATATATATATATATAGCTTATAAGAAACAAAGAATGCATAGTTCAAAACAATGCTGTTTCCATGCATACCCCAATTTGTAAACATGTGAAACACAAACACATCCATATGTTGTTTTGTCAGAACTCAGGTTGGTTTTGGCGACCATATTGAATGCCAGACCTGGCGCTTTCACATGTCTATGTGGCATAGTGTGTTCTTCCTGGACAGCTATAAACATGGCGACGTCGGGTCGCACACCATGCACACCCCTTGGTCGAGAAGACCGGGAATACGTGAGGATGGCCAATTTAATGGCATCACGGTTCCGTGGTGATATTATTTTTGCCCCCTTACAGTTTCGTAGTTGCAGCCAGTAGTCTTGAACTTACAAATCTAGCTTGAGTGGCCTTTGCCCCATTCCCTTCCCCAAGGCTTTCGCTCCTGATCTTCCTCGTGGAGGCCTTGAGTGGATGCTGGGCAGTGGAGCAACCGCACCTGTCAATGTTGCGCTTCCACCCACGTGTCATGCAGGTCTTCCACCACTTTAGGGTGACTGGATTCAACAATGGATATATATTTTTAGGGACCCCGGGGGAATATCTATGGTATCATATATGTTTCGGATGGACTTTGCCAAGAACAGTTGATCAAATAAAAATTGCACCACCACTTGGAAAATCTGCCCCTATACATGGTGTCGAATAGATGCCTTTTCTGAGGGAATCTTCTGGGGAAAGGTCTGAGCGTGTTGCCCAGTGCACATGTATGTTTTGCTTGGTGGGCTCAACTGCAAGTCAAGCAAACCTATATCCATATGTAAATATATATATATAATGATATATATATACTATATATATATGCATATGCATATGCATATATGCATATATGTTTAAATGTAGATGTATATATATAGATAAATATATATATATATATGTATATTTATTGAAAAATATGTATGTGCAATATAGATGCATATATATATATATATCAATATATTTAATACTTTATATATATAATATAATATATATATGCTAGAACAGTATGTTTAATTTAATATATATATATATACATAAACATATGCATGTGCAATTGCATTTACATGTTTTATCATGTACTGCATGCATGCATATATCCGTCAAACCAATGCACACACTTATTTATATATATATATATATGTATTTATATATATATATAATTTTACATTAATGTAAATTATATATATATATATATTAATATGTATATATAAAAAATATATATATAGCTGTAAAATGCTGCTATGTGTATATATATATTCACAGTACATATATTAATTATACATGCATGCACATGTTTATGTAGAAGTCGAGATATTTAACCAAGGGTTTGTGGGCAGGCCCAGGAGTGGATCACGAAACTTGCCACCTACCCGAAAGGACAAACTTAAGATGGTGACTACAAGGGTAACAGCCACAACTTCAATGCTTCCATGCCACAGAAATGGTAAGTTTTGGGGACAATAAAACGATTTGGTTCCAATTTTGGACTGGGTCTTTGCACCAAACCAAGGGGGTGATATATATATATATATATTATGTGCTTTCTTCTTTAAACATATGTTCATCTACCATTAAAATCAATCATATTATACTAAAACCGGCTCACATCCCGGGAAAAAAAAACATATAGCTGGTGGGCATCATGGTTTTGCTGAATGTTTTACTTTATGCAAGTCTCGACCCATGGTACTTAAAAAAAATGAAAAGATTAATATTATGCAACAAATATGTTGAAGATTTGCATGATGTAAATTAGTAAGGTGATTCATTTCTGCTGGGGAATCTGCATGGTGGTCCCATTGTGTTTTCACCGCCAGCACCCTCCTTTGCAGCTGGTACGATCTGAGGCATGGGCAGCTCGGTGGTGGATGGCTCACTACAAAAGCTGCACACCTAAGCGCCATGTGTGTTGGTCCAACAGTGCAGCCGTCCGGATGCTGGATCTTGGGAAACTCCACAAGTTTGACTATGAGTCATGCACCTATAAGATGAACAAAACGACCAAAAAGACGGTTAACAAAACCACTGGGAAGAAGCAATTCACTGGTCAACGAGCCCAACTGAAGAACAGCCAGTACCTCGATCTACAGGAGTTATAGGTTCTATAATGTTGTTGACTTGTAGCAGGGTGTATGAGTGGGCCACCTCTACAATTCATACTGGGGTTCCAATTCGACCCACACCCAAGACAGAATCAGCATTTGTATAATTGGGAGTTGGTATACAGAGGAACCATGCAGTCTTGTCCATGATCCAAAACAGATTATACGGGAAACTCATGCTTCTGAATTCACGTGGTTCATGAAGATCTTCGCATTGTGCTACAACTCAGATCAACTCAATTCATGTTGTGTGGCAATCATCACCCCAATGCTGGTCCAAAGTATGGGGGGTAACAAACTTTTCATTCCGCTAACTAACTCTAGCTCAACGACAAGTGTTTCAGAACAACTTTTGAAAGACTACTTTTTTGACCACCCCAACTGTACCATTGACATGGATGTGCCTCATTCTGGAAGAGATTGTGGTCATCCAAGCTTAAAAAACTGGCAGACCCGATTCCCCAATTCATTTTCAGAGCCAATTGAGGCACTATCCCTACCGGTTCGGACTTCGAGTTCTCAGGATCTTGCCGAAGCTCCAGGCACAATGCCAAAAGAAGTTCCCGGAGAGGCCTGCCAATTTCGATCCACTTTATGACTACAAGCACCAACCATGGGATGACATGTGGGAGGATGCTGGGGTGCCTGACCTCCTGGCATACATAAGGGGCAACCGTTCCCTTTCCATCCCTTCTGAGTGGAAGCCGCACTTGCTTCCCCAAAACAATTAATTTTTGGATCTTTTGGCCTATAGCTAAAACTGGCTGGGCTACAGTGCGACCAATTTGAGATGCACCAAGCTACATTTAACACAGGGTTAACTGGTGGGTTCAGAAACCAGGTTATTACCCGTAGGGAACCCGTAAAAAAACCGTAACCCGTAGAAACCCCATAGAACCCCCGTAGACAACCCGTAATTACCCGTAGAATTCTCCGTAATACTACGTATTCTAGGCGTAACCAGGGATCCAGGAATTTAGACCATTTTGGGTGATTTTGTTAACTTTTATCTGGGTTCATGAACCTGCCGGGTCCAACCCGAGTGTTTGAGCTGACCTATCTAGCTGAGTTTCATGGAGTTGGAAAAATGACAGCATATGCGCTTCTCTCTGCTGAGTTGTTCGTGATCATTCGTGATGGTTCATATCTATTGCCAAATGCAGTGTGAAATCCTTCTCTCGTTTATGACCAAATCTTTGATGCTCAATGTATATATCTTGAAAAAGATGACTTGGACTATTACAGTCTATGTGGCTTTTGGATCAATTATTTTAGGCACCACCAGTGTCTCAGGGTACTGAACATCTGTTCCCCGGCCGATCCTGTGGGGCCCATGTCTCGACTCCGAAGCTGTGGATCATTGGCCTCCGGAAATGACCATCTCTTGCGGGTTAAGTCGGAGCCGCAGAGCCGGGAGGATCGTATCAAGGAGCTGGAGGATAAGAAACAGGTGGGGTGCATGCATACACGTGCATGCATGTGCAATATATATATATATATATAGTTTGGATTATTTTGGATTGTCTCTCATTGTAATCCACAGCATTTGATGAGGATGTGCAGGGGATATGCATATATATATATATGACTGAGGTTCCAATACCTCTCTGTAAGTGTATTTTTGTATGTATATATATATATATATAATACACTTGAATTCATACTCTCCCATGACATGGGTAAACAATGGGTGCATGAGTTATAAGCCCGGCCCGGGACAGGCAATGCAAGCTGAACTAGAAGCTCTGACCATTGGATCTGCCAATGGGGAGACCGGTGTCACTGAATCTTTTCTCAACATATACATGCCTTATAACCAGTTGCAAGTGGGATTCTGGCCATGCACATATGGGAATAAGTTCAAATCCTTGCAGCCCAGGACAGTGATACACTTCCAGTTTCTTGGCTGGTATTGGAGCTGACCCAACCTCTGGGGAAGATACGGGTTATCTCACCAAACCCATCACAATGGAAGAAATGCAATTCTTTGTTAAGAAGACCATTCCCTATAGATGTTTGCCTGCATGCATGGCTATATCTCTATGTTTGTTCGCCTGGCTAGCCCAGGCCGATGAAGAGGAGCTGAGACAGTCCATGAAGCGTTCGCCGCCCAAATCCACCAAGAACACCCCTGTGAAGTCTACGGCTTTGGCTAAGAAGCCCCGGAATCAAGCTGGTGATCAGGTGCTTTGGAAACAAATGGTTTTAAAAACAACTCCACAGAAAGGTTTTTCCAACATATAATATATTTTGATTGCTGACTATACATTTATGGTCAGAGGAATCCCGATTCCATGAGAGTCCAATCAAGTATACTGCAGGGTGTTCTTGGAATTTGGGGGATACTGAATACTAAAGAACATTGGTTGCATGTATCTACATGACTAAGAAAAAGAGGTACTTCCACATCCAGAAATGACAACAACTTCAAATGGCTCATGTTTAAAAGGTATATGTGCCATGCAAGCATAGTATGGATCAGTATGGTTTCATTTAATGATTCAATATATGTCGGTTTGACTTTCTTCGAACTTCGATGGGTTAACGTATCTCTCTCTTGCATCTATATTGGGAAAAGAGATGCCAAGGACATACTGAGCTAATTGGGTTTGCCACTCCTCCCCAGCTGCAGGCGAAGTCTGGCCTTGCAGCAGCCCCAAAGGCTGCACCGAAAGCAGCGCCCGTCGCTGCACCTGTGGCTGCAGACACTGGAAGCTATGACGGTGGGAGTGGTGCCAGTGAGGATTGGGTGATGATGAGAAGTTGTTTGTATTTTGGTGGTCTCTATTAATTCACCCTATGAAGTTGTTCAAACCCTGGATGCTTACATTCATCGGTAGATCTTTCGAAACATGTGGAAACAAGAATAGATACCACATTTCTCTTGTGAATGGCGTTGCCAAATTTTAAAACTTGCCTATCCCTTGGATCCAATCTAGTAATTCGATCACTGCTCTGGGGCAATGGAAGTCCATAATTAAGTTACACTAGTATACGCTGGATCTCTGCCAACCGTGGCTTGCAGGATCCAGTCGTGAGGAATCTCCAGGTGCAATTGGAGAATGCCATGAACATGATCCAGAACCTGCAGTCCCAGCAGAAAGTGGCCACACCGCCACCAGGTGGTTCAACCAAGGCGAAGACTCCCCCATCGGCTGCGCATGGGAAGTCTCCTGGAACTTCCTCGGCCACACCTTCCACTGCCTCTAAGGCCCCATCTTCCACGGCCCCATCTTCCACTGCCTCTAAGGCCTGGGTCTTTTCAACTCATCATTTTGCAAATCCATGGGCCCAAGTTATGTTGCGGTCATCTAGATGGAACCACTCCATGTAAAAAGAAAATCCTGTGTGTGTGGAGCGGGGTCTGGATATACCAAATGAATTTCATTATTTTAGGATGCTAAAAGAATCTGATTGTATATGTATACCGACCTATCTATATCCACGTTTGTGTATATATAAATATATACATATATACATATGCAAACATATTTAAAACTGAAACATCTATGTATATATTTGCATGGGTGTATAGTTATTTATTTATCTAGCTGTCTATCTATATCTATATGTATATCTATATGTCTATCTGTCTATCTATCTATCTGTCTATCTATCTATCTATCTATCTATCTATATGTATATATATATATATGCATATGCATATAAATGCATCTGTGTTGATATATACATAAAAATAAAAAAAATAAATATAATATATATATATATACATATATATCCCCCTAATTCTATCTTTGAATCTATCTATATCCCAGGGCTGCTCCACCATGATTGGCCCCTCTGTAGCGGCTGCCTGCACACAGGAGAAAGAGGATGACGATGGGGCTGCAGAAGCCCTGGCGCGCTACAAGATGGTAGACGCCCGGCTTCGGCGTCTCTGCGAGAAGAAGCCGAGTGGGAAGTTGAACGTCCCACAAGCAGTGCACGAACAATGGTTACAAGTAGGGACTCTCCCCGCGATGAACTGCGGGCTCTATTAGAAGAGATGGATTTCAACAAGGACCCAACATAATTGATCTACAATGTGCAACTCCATGTGTATATATATGGAATCTGATCATAACCACGCATGGTACCTTCATAAAATGTTGCCCCGATGCTTACATACCTTGAAAAATGGTATGCTCATCCCTGCATGCCACTATGCAGTCATTCAACCTTAACTCCTTGCTCTTGCAGGACATGTTCGTGCGCAAGGTCACCAAGATGATTGAACTCCGAAAGGAGGATTCGCAGGAGGTGTTAAAGGGTTGGTTTACGGTGGACCAAATGAAGAGTGAGCTGAAATGGACTTCGATACTTTGTTGAATTATACTCATGCATGTATTTTTCAGAACTATGGGGACCAATTGGGCAACCACTACAGATCAAAAAAAATGTAGGGATCCCATGCACCAGTAATCATGGTTGTGAGTGTTGCCTCAAAAATCGGCCTAGTGGCAATGACCAGTTTTCATTGGAAATTTGGTGCCAAGATGTTTGGCTAGGTTTGTTCCGGACTCTGTCAAACTGTTTGTTTGCTTCAGCTGCCCCACAATATTGCAGGTTCATTTCCATATTGTTCATTGTTTATCGAAAGAAACCCTCTCCGCATTGAGAGCATGAGCTCACCAGCTCTGTCCAACATAGAAACATCATCAAATCATGTAGGCAAAAAGGGGCTGGTGCTGGGAGTAGATTTATGACATAGGTTTGAACAAAACTTATGCCAGTCTTGCCCCTCAGGAACTACATCAAGGAGGTCATCGGCTACTGCAAAAAACATGGCTTGGTCAAGAAACTTTGTCTGCAAGTGCTGGCCCGGAATCTTTTACATGGGGGCTGATTGATTGTCACAGGGTGTATCTGTAGGAACATCTGATGGTTCTTTGGGTTTGCATAATGCTGTAGCTATAATGCTCACCTTCGCCTATGGGTAAGGAATGACAAGTATGCCTCGAAGGTGCTGAAGTATTTTGTGGAGTTCTCTGACAAGGAAGCCACCAAAAAGGTCCGTGTTGAGTCAGAAAAGCGGACTTCTACTGAGGAGGCCGGGCTTGTTTGCCCTTTATGAATAAGATAGAGTCACAAAGTTTAATAGTTAATAGTTGGGGATCTATTGAACCATTTGACCAACAAGAAAAAAACATCTGTGACGTGTTTGCCATGCATAATTGATATGAACAAATCCTATACAAATCCTATGTGTGAAATTTGAAGCAAGTGGATTTTTACAGAATATGAAACACCTAGCCCCTGTCATCATCTGGTATTTGGAATGCACAGGCTGCAGACGATGTGGAGTTATCCAATGACTGGCTCGTCCCCACCACGGAGATGGCACCTGAACAGGATGAGGGCAAGGTCCAGACTCCTGCGGAGGGAGAGGCTCTGTCAAATCGGCAGTGGGGAAACAGGCATGCTGGAAAAAACAACCATGAATAAATCATAAATCATTTGGGTGCATGTGATGGTTATATATTTGTAAATACATATGTATGCATATACATATAGTTGTATATATATATACCTGTATATGCATGTATGCATATATGTAAATACATTTATTTGTATATATATATATATATGCATATGTATATATGTGCATGTATGTATATATATATGTATATATATATATACATATATTTATCTCCTAATTTATATGTATAAATAAAGATATATATACATATATATATATATTATATATATTTACAATGATGTTTATATATATATATGCATCTATCTATCTATCTATCTATCTATCTATCTATCTATCTATCTATCTATCTATCTATCTATCTCTATATCTATCTGTCTATCTATCTATATATTTACATGCATGTATCACAACTGTTTTTTCCATCTTGGGGTACAACTGCATGTATATATATATATATATATGTTTTATGCGATTGGGGTGTGGTGTTCGTTCCAGTGTTTCTCAAAACAATAGTGTGGACAGAATTTCAAAGTCAATCATATTATTGTGATCAATTCCATTGACATCCGACTTGATTCTTGAGATCAACCTGGGGTGATGGTGAAGTCCCATGTCTTCTTCTGAGGATGAGGAGGTTGAGAAGAAGTTCGCCGATGGTATGTTGACCAAGATGAGCAAAATCACAGACCTCATCTCAAAGCTGGATTCCTTTGCGAATGGGGAAGACCAGAGCCGTGTCAAGAAGCCCTTTGTTCAAACAAGAGCTGAAACCTGCTTTACTGCTTGTTTCCCACAGTGATATTTGCTTAAGACACCATAGTTGGTCCAACCTGAGGGATACGCATACATTTTCCGTATATCCGGGCCGATTTGCAGACCCACCCAAATGCCCAGGTCGATTGAAGCCTTGGAGGTGAAGCTCACTGCAGCCCAGGCCACCTATGACACGTTTGCGGCTGCACGGTCGTCCATGGGATCTTCTGAGCGGAATGAGGAGAATCTTAGTGAAAATTGATGTTCATCATTTGGTCATGGTGGGACAATATCACTGATATCACTTTCGTATCAAACCAATGAATGATGATCGAAGAAATCAAATATCAACCTTTTTGTTTTTTCCTTCAGACCCAAACTTCAGACCCAAATCTACCCAGATACAAAGAAAACATACAGCCATCCACACATGAAGGTTTGGACCAATTTTCCTGAACATGTACTGGGTTGTCCGCTCAGGAATGTGAACCGGCTGAACAAATTGATGCGAGACGCCATGGAGAAGTTTCTAGTCATGCCGTTTGCAGCCATGTGCAAACCTCCCAATGGAAAGTATAATTTTGAATTATCTTAAATTATATAATTGGTATATATATATATATGTGTTGATATCTTAACAATTCGAAGTCCTCCATATAATCATGCCCGCAAACCCTAACTCATAAGCCCATGGCACCTGTTCGCTGCCACAGCTGCATCCTCTGAGGGCATCAGCCCTTGCATCGGTCGAAGTCCAAGCAAAGAGCCTCACCTGCACAAATCGTGAGGGCTGTCTGCAAGAGGGACTGGGTATAAGAACATTGAACACCACAACAGGTTAAAGTAATGTTCGTTGTGAAATCATTTCCATTTAAGCCCATTTTATTTGATCCCTTCGTATATGCTGAGGGCCCTGGAGAAATCCCTCAAGAAGAAGAAGACGGATGCAGCTGCAGCAGCTGCGGAGTCATGAGTTCTCATGGCTGCTCACAATGAGCACTACCGGGGTTGAATTTTGAGATGCGCTGTGCGATTCCGTACATTGCACATGTTGATAGCTCTTTTGATGGAGCCAATATGGGATACCAATTTTACTGGCTTTTGTGGCGATTCGCCTACATGTCGGGATGACTGTCGTTGACAATTGCTTTGGAAACAATTTAGTTTCAACCAAATGTTCATGTGCCACTTTTGGCAAACAGTCGGGCATGCTTTGAGAAGTGCACTTGGCAGACATGTGCCTGCAACTCGGGGGAAAAGGGCTTGAGTAGAATTGCGCATGTGGCTGAGATGGTTTCCCTCAAAACTTTGCCCTGCATTCAAATATGTTCATTTTCTGACAATAGATCATCGATGCAGGAAATCCTGAATTACAACATCTGATACCTGATAACCGTTGATAACATGTGAATATAAACCTCGACTGGAGACCCCCTCAGGCCTCGTAAAGTAGGTCCAGCCCACTTGCCATCCATGCCAGGTCCTGAACCTGAGCTACATGGCTTCGCCCGAATGATTGGAAATGGTGTTGGGGATCCAAGCTGATTGGGGAATCCTTGGATGATGGGTGGATGGAATCAACAGCTGCATCAAAAACTCATATACATTCGCTGGGCCATTTTGAAGCCAAGAGATCCCATGAGTTTGTTGTTGAAAGCGGTGGTGCCATGTTTCCTCTGTGCTATGGCTCTGAAACGCCCACATAGCAGCTGTGCCTATGAGGATGAACTTAGGGAACTGATGACTTACCAGTGCCCATTCACAGGAGAGAACCGTTGCCCCCCGTTCAAAAACGAAAGTGTCCCTATGATCCAAAGCTGCACCAAGGTTTTTTGAAGTGATATGACACCATTGAAACTGGGGTTACAACATAATTGATTCATAATATATACACAAGTGGGGATCTATTTTATTGAAGATCACTTGTCAATTTATTCATCATGTCCATGGGGATATCTGATTCTTTCTGCTTAGGAAATCCCAGAAAAAGATGAACACACACCACGACCTGTGCCGCTCTCTGTCCATGTCCCCCGTTGTCCCAGAAGCAAAGCTGTCAATGGTTTCTTGTCCATATGTTCATTTTTGTTTCACTTTTAGTAGGTGCATGCATGCATGGTTAATTTCAATGTTTTTTTTGGTCCAACACACATTGTTGATCGAGTGATGTCATTTGACATTAGGACATCGCAGTGAACAGTACGACTACAACTGCCTTTGCTAGCCGACCTTGTGATCCCAATGGGTTTCCATATACGGAAGCTATGCACTGCCCAGCTGAGCCTTGTGAAAACTTGGACAAGCAACATCAGTTGTTTGTGAGCCATGGGATTTGCATTTCTTATTTGTCCTTTCGCCAGAGGCAAAAAGCCTCAGCTGGGACTGTTCTTCAAAGGTGTCTTTCACAAATCAATTCTTTCAGAGACCGAATGGGTCGAAAGTTGTGCGTGTTCAAAGTGGGTTTGACATCCAATCCAATAGTAAGATTCAATTTCTACAAAGAGGCAAATTACACACATATGTCCCTGCTGCATGTGTCACCTAATTTGGGACTGTGCCAAATGCTAGAAGCAGCCCTGATTGCTTCAAATCTTTCAGAGCGGGGGTGCCGAAACCAGAGATATGGTGGAGAAGGGCCACCATCCGCAGAACAAGAGACATGTCATTTTGTTTATATAGTGGGGGCTCGAGCTGACCAGTTTAAAGCAATTCGATGAACTGCAAACTGTTGCATTAAATTCGCTGCTGACAAAACTGCTTTATCAAATTCATTGGAAAATGGTGTGGTGCATGCATCCCCGGCGGTTTTCTCACTTTAAGTGATCTCAAGCTTGGACAACGGATTTGAAACATATTGTGCATGTGTACCAATAGCATCTATATATATATATATATGTTTTGTATTTCTCCTATATACTTACCTTTCAGCCTGCACTCATTGAGTTTGTGCTCAACAAGGGGGGGTCCTTTTTTTGTGTTTGCAATGACCCTCACTAAGCCTGTTGATGCTGAGGTCGCCTGTGCTGACGCCATTCGACAGGCAAGGGTGACGAGGTTGCCTTCGAAGGGGCTACGAAAATTGGCCCGGGTCAATCTGAAACGAAGTGAGGCTGGAACACACCATGTCTTCAAACAGTTTGGACAGTCCCTGGATATTCCGATTTCCAAGACCAACCTACCCTCCAAAAAGGACTTCCCACATGTGACCTTCACGAATTGGCTTCGGTACATTGTGGAGAGTGACAACCTGCAATACCTGTGTGGTGCACCAGAGGTAGCTGATATGCGAAGGATACTTTCAACATTTTGGGATCGCTTTGAAAAATTGTATCCACATCATGTGATCTGTGGACGGAATGATCCTGGCTTTTCACGGGAGATGTGTATTCCGGTCCTGTACCATGGAGATGAGGGACGGTCTTTGAAAAAGAAGCAGCTAATGGTATTGTCAACACATGGAGTTCTTGGCCGTGGCAGTAACCCAAGCAATAAGAACTTGAATGACATGGACGATCCCAACGGCCCCCTACGCCTCAACATGATTGGGAATACCTTTTTGACACATTTCCTGCAATGTGTGATGCCTATCAAGCTCTACAACACCTCACCTGAGTCATTCTACCACATGCTGGACCTTCAAGGGAAAGAGTTTGCAGAGCTTTTTCAAACAGGGGTGGTGATCAATGGTGTTCGATTCTATGTGCGCTGCGTGGGGGTCAAGGGAGATGCACCTTTTTTGGCAAAGAGCGGCTTGTTTTTCAGGAACTTTTTGCGACGGCCTACCAGGCCTTCAAGTCGCACACCATGTGTTGGTGTGTGTCACCTTTGCTGTGCTGGACGGGAAGAATTTGACTACCCAGTTCCATTTGAAGAATATGGATGTCTATCCCCAATATGGCTCCAAACAGTTGGATTGGTAAGGCCATACACGGACCCTAGTCCTCTGCTACAAATTCCTTACGAGGTGGGTGGGACAACTGAAGCCTTGTGGAAGTTCGACTTGTTCCACAACTTTCACAGTGGGATGGGCAAATACTTTGCAAGTTCAGCAATTGTTGTTTGCTTGGAGTTGGTCAATGCCAGCATTGATGGTGCTTTCGACCTTATTTCCCAGGACTTCAAAAACTATTGCCGTGTTCACAGGGAATGCCCATATCACAAGAGTATCACAAAAACATTGCTGGGAGTAGAGGGCTCTTTTCAGGATGTTCCCGATGGGGGATGGAGCAAAGGGGACTTTACCCGGCTGATCCTGAAGTGGTTTGCTGACTACTGTTCGCGTTGTGTGATTGGAGAAACAGAGGACCAATTGTACTTGAAATGCGTGTCTTACCTTTGATTGGTATTTTTCAGTTTTGAAGGTGAAAGGTTGTCAATCTGAACTTAATGGAATGTGTTGACAAAAGAATATAACAATAGAAATTGAAGATAAACATATGCACATACCCTTACCATATCCTACTGGCTGCATGGCCACATCTGAGGCTGAAGCGGTGTTCGCGATCAACGATTGCTTGGGTTCACTATACCGTGAAGGGCTTTTTGTTCCAGCGGAGCGATCTCACAAGATTGCCACTCAGGGCTTGGTTTTCTTGAAGCTTTATGCTGACCTAGCTACGTTGTGCCATGAGAAGAACAAAAAAAGGTTTCCACTGGCTCCTAAGGGGCACTTTTTGCACCATCAGTTTTCGGAAATGTATCATCAGTCTCAAAGGTGTGACTGGTGCCTGAACATCTTAGCGATGGCTGTACAGATGCAAGAGGACTACATAGGTAGACCCTCTAGGCTATCACGTAGAGTATCATCAAGAACTACTTCTTTACGGGTGATCCAGCGAACCTTTTTAGCAGTTCGCAATGCTTTGGGGGAAGCTGGATAGTTTCGGGTTCGAAATTTGGGGAAATGATGCTCATTTTGCCTATGGTTAAAGCAATTGCAGTTTGGCTACTGAGTTTTTAGACCAATCTAAAACATTCTAAAACATGTCCACTTATCAGTACCGGGTCAACCATTTGTGCAGGTCCAATCTCAGGACAAGGCATGAGCATCAGTAGAGCTCTTTGAGGAAGTTGATCCAAGCCGTGGCCGCGAAAGTGGGTGATGGATGGTGATGGTGATGGGGTGTGATGGGATTAAAAGACATAACAATGCTGGACATTCACCACCAGTGTTTCTGTAACAGCTTAGTGTGCAAGTAGAACATTACCAGAATTTCCCAAAATAGTGAAACCGGGTTTTTAAAGTGACAACCTTAAGAATTCAGGTCATGGAAAATAACCTTCGTTTTTCATGGTTGAAGCGGGTCTTGGTATATTATACTATATTATATAACTAAAAGTGAACTATATAGTTCTATATTTCATAGATAGCATATAGCTAAATCTGTGGTGCCATGCCGGTAGGTGCTGACATTGGTACAAAAACCCAACATCAGCAGCACCTGCCTCTGCGAGGTGCGAGTTTTGTCGAACGCAAAGGGTGTTTCCGGGTAAGCGACATGGGGACTTCAGCGGGTTTATGGTGATTTCATGGTGATTTCATGGGAGTTTATGTGATCTGAAAGGAATTTTGTGGGATTCAATGGTGATTTAATGGTGATTTAATGGTGATTTAATGATATGTACTAGTCATTTAAAGGGAATCATAATGATGAAATGGAATTCGATGTGATTGAACAAGGACTTCAATGGGAATGTAATGGGATTGTCTTGGAATATATGATTAACCTTAATTAAATAAATCCGGATTTTAAGCTTCCAAAATGGGATATGATGGGTGATTTGCATACCAGCAATAAATGCATGTATCACGGCACATATATGCTGGGAATAATGGACATATATATATATATATGCACATACATTTTGTGATTAGAATAGTGAATAGTGACTTAACCAGCCTGAATAGGAAATAAAGAAACAACAATGGTGATACAATGGAGTTACAATGAAATTCAAAGGGACTCAATGGGATTCTATGTATATAATGTATACATACATATACATACATATGTATATATATAGAGGATTTTAATGAACTATAATAATGAAGTACATAGACAGAATATGTCATTGTCAAATCATACGTCCATGTTGATGAGTTGTTTTTCCAAACTGTCCATATTATATCCACTCCAGGATGCCTCTATATACATATATATAAATACATATGTGCCTATTCACATGTTTATTGTGTATATCCTAATTTACTTAGATATGGGTAGTAACATACGTGTTAGATCGCACTGTGTTGGAAGTCTCTTACCATTGAAAATGGAATGCACATCCGAGAAGTAGCTGCTTAGACCCACAAAATCTTGGTCATACAAAGTGGCGCTTTTGATCCATTCCATCACCGGGTCATACGAATTTGTGCAGGAAAAAACATGGGTTAGTTGCTTGAGCACATGTGATTTTCAGGCACCCGCAGATGGTAGCTTCAGGATCCTTATAAACCAAAATGGAGGTCTAAAACATGGCTGGGAAAACAAGATGCTTTCCTTCTGTTATTTCTCTTTGGTTGTTTGATGTTGTTCCCAATGAGTTTTCATGGTCGAAAGCTGGAATAGGCATCCATCCGCTCAGTTAATAGGTGGCCTCATCCCTCCAAAGGATTGACCAAAACTGACACTCAGAGTCATCCTTATTGTTTCTTAAGTACCCTCTGGCAATCTCACATGGCCATGAAAAATGATAATGTTTATATTGACATATATTGACATATGTTGACTAAAAAGGTAAATCATCTACAAATTGATCATTTTCCGTGGCAAGCTGCTTTTTTACCACCCCATGTTTGATGTTTGTCTGTTGTTTTTTTTCACCAAAAAACTTCACCCTTTGGGCCAGGTGCTGGGTGCAATTGGATCCAACCGCATCAACATCATCAAAATTGAAAGATGCTGGGCACTGGAGAAACCGCTGAACCACTGGAATTCTTAGGAAATTCTGGGGTACCCTCTGGTAAACTAACGTAACTATGGAAAATCACCACTTTTAATGGGTAAATCCACTATAAATGGCCATTTTCAATAGCTATGTTAGTTTACCAGAGGGTACATGTACATGTATGGACCGTAGATACCCCAGGAATCTTGGGAATCGATATTCGCTCTGCGGGTTACCGAATCGAAGAATCTGGGGATGTTTTTTTAAGCCACGGGATCCCGATGAATCATCAATGATTGTATCATATTGGATCTAGTTTCATCATTTGCTTGTGCTCTTTTGAGAAGCCGTACATGTTTTTTGAATGATTTTATATGTATATTATATGTATATTATATTATATTACATTATATTATATAATATAATATTATATATTATGTCCAATCCCTTTGACATAAATTAAATCACCACTTTACCCATTGAACATGGCCACCCCGAGGACTCAGCGCTCGAGATATCGCCTCCTTACAGTTCACCGTCGCTGGGCCATAGAACTGGGGAAGTCTGAAATATCGAACTAGGGAAAATTCAAGATGACTAGAAACTACCACTAACTCAAGATTGAACTGGATCCTAGGTTAATGTACTGGAACCTCAAGATCTAAATCCTATGTTGATGTAGAAACACAAGATCATATATCCTAGGTTTGGGGTTGAACATGGATCAAGATGTGCTAAAATACATTGTTCATCCATGCCAAATTCGTGGTTATATAATCCCTGGTAAATCCGTGGTTCACCGGTTAGGTTTCTAATCCCATCACCGAAGTATTACTCATATTTGAGCCAGGTGTTTACCATCAAATGGGCCATATAACATGGATTACCCTCTGGTAAACTAACATAGCTATTGAAAATTACCATTTATAGTGAGTTTTCCCATTAAAAATGGTGATTTTCCATGGTTATGTAAACGTTTACCAGAGGGTAAACCATCCTGAGATGGGAATTTCCAGCAACATCCATGCACCAACCGCTAGTGGGACCCCTTCTGAAGAGAGATCGATCCAGCACATTCCACTGTTCAACAAAATAGGCGGAAGAGATTAACTTGATAAATCCATATTAGGCTTGTCTCAAATCATGGGATTTGCACATGGGTATATTATTATTATTATATATTGGAAATTAGATATTGGCTATCTATATTAGATGTATATAGTTATGATTTATATATTGGAAAGGGAAAATGATGAAAAAGCCATCAAATTATGAGGGAAGTCCTAAAATTTTCCAGAGAAATCCATATGGGTAATCCAATAAGAGATGGTGAATCCAATAATCAACTGTCGACCATCCCCGAATGGGAGGCTCGTTGCTGGCTTTATCAAACTAAAGTGAGGTATTTCTGAAGAAAATACCCCATATAAATGCTTGTTTAATCTCATGAGTGCTTTCTAATAGCCCTTTTTCGTGGTTGTTAATGGTATCTACCCCACGAGGGCGTCGCAAAAAGGGTTGTCCTTTTTTGCACATGGGAAGATCATCTATAAATGGAGGTGTTGACCGGAAAATTCCTGAGAAAATGGAAGGTTATAGCTGAGAAAATCATCGAACTAAATGGTGGATTTTCCAGCAAGTTCAACCGGGTGATTCGGTGATTCACTTGGAAATATGATTTTAAACAACAATCCAAACTCCGATGGCTTTCCTTCGGGTTATGTTTAAACAAGCTTCAGGTAATGCAGAGCAGGCAGCTGGATCAACCGATAAGATCAGTGGCTATGGCTATTGAAAATGGCCATAGAAATAGTTGATTTTCCCAGCTATAAAATGGGTGGATCTTTCCATAGTTATGTAAACGTTTACCAGAGGGTAACTTGCTGTTTGATCTTTCAGAGGTTCCAGGAAATGGATCTCAATCAGTCCAGTTTTTTATTTGTTGTTGAAACTGGTTGTGTCTCTACCAGGTAAGTTTCAAACCAGTGATGCAGGATACATCCTGATACTGGAATTGAAAAATTGCGAACCCCTCAACTGAAATGGTGAACAGCATTTCCCAATTCATGGATTCATGGTTTGTGGTAAGCCAAAATATCATAATATATTGGATAGTATAAAGCCCATATAAAGCCCCATATAATTAAACAACAGGGGCGCTTTGGAACATCCCTCAACTGTCCCTTGTTACTCTTGTTCTTTCTGACCAAGCGGCTGGCGAAAACCAGGTGAGTTTGCCTGATGACCTGACTTCCGACGATTTCGCCAGCAAGATGGCGACCCGGCGGTGCTGAAATGTGTTTTTTTCTGTGCTGCAGAACGTGGATTTTTTGGTGCTGAGATTGACGCTGATTGTTGAATATTGTTGATATGTGTGAATCACATCCCATGAGTTTGCAGCTTCAATCCCCATGTCTTGAAATCATCTTATGAATTATGCACTGAATCATTAAACCCTCGTCTAGTGGCTCCAGCCCCTATTCTTACTTAAATCATCTCAAATCACTTTAGATCTCGCATGTTGCCTTATTGCTCATCCCTTTTTCCCCACCTGCCAGGTGAGGGTTGTTAGATTTTATGTCAGTTGCCTCCTCCTGCCTCCTGCCTCCTGCCCTCCTCGTCCTCCTCCTCCTCCTCCTCTCCTCCTCGTCCTCCTCGTCCTCCTTGTCATCCTTGTCGTCCTTGTCGTCTCGTCCTTGCTCAACTGCGACCCGCGATCCACAGTGTTCTCTGCCGGACCTCAACCACGACCAGCCACGCCAGTGTTCCCTGCCGGACCTCAACCACGACCAGCCACGCCCAGTGTTCCCTGCCGGACCTCATCTGCGAGTATCCATGCCAAGTGTTCCCTGCCGGACCTCAACCGCGAGTATCCATGCCAAGTGTTCCCTGCCGGACCTCATGTAGGAAGATATGGGACAAAGAATGTGCAGAAGAAATTACTTTACTTCGTGTGATCCCCACCATGACATTTATACATGTTCTTACTGGCACATCTTCTGGCATTCTATCTGACATATCTTCTGAGATTCTATTTGGCATATCTTCTGGCATCTCTTCTGGCATTCTATCTGGCAAATCTTCTGGCATTCTATCTGACATATCTTCTGGCACTCTATCTGACATATCTTCTGGCATTCTATCTGGCATTCTATCTGGCATATATTCCGACATATCTTCTGGCATTCTATCTGACATATCTTCTGGCATATATTCTGACATATCTTCTGGCATATATTCTGGCATCTCTTCTGGCATATCTTCTGGTAAATCTTCTGGCATTCTATCTGGCATATCTTCTGGCATTCTATCTGACATATCTTCTGGCATTCTATCTGGCATTCTATCTGGCATATCTTCTGGCATATATTCTGACATATCTTCTGGCATTCTATCTGGCATTCTATCTGGCATTCTATCTGGCATATCTTTTGGCATATCTATCTGGCATATCTATCTGGCATATCTTCTGGCATTCTACCTGGCAAATCTTTCCCTGCCGGACCTCTCAGAATATATGCCAGAATCTATGCCAGATAGAATGCCAGATAGAATGCCAGAAGATATGACCTCAGATGTGCCAGAAGATATGCCAGATAGTGCCAGAAGATAGATAGAATGCCAGAAGATATGTCAGAATATATGCCAGAAGATATGCCAGATAGAATGCCAGATAGAATGCCAGAAGATATGTCAGATAGAGTGCCAGAAGATATGCCAGATAGAATGCCAGAAGATTTGCCAGATAGAATGCCAGAAGAGATGCCAGAAGATATGCCAGATAGAATGCCAAATAGAATGTCAGAAGATATGTCAGATAGAATGCCAGAAGATGTGCCAGTAAGAACATGTATAAATGTCATGGTGGGGATCACACGAAGTAAAGTAATTAGTGGGTTACTTAACCATTCAGTCACCATAATCCAATGAAAGGAAACGGTTTTGATGGTTAAATCACGTTAAATCCCGACTTTTCATGCTGAAATTCACATTTATCGTTATCCCTTGGTAAAATAGCCATGGCAAATGACCAATTTTATTTGATTTGCCATTAAAGAGGCATATTTTCCATAGCAAACTGTTAAAACGTTAAATGACCAAAGGGTAAATCATCAAAGCTTCCCATAAAATAATCTATCAATATCTATAATGTAATTAATATATATATATGTATTTTATATGTATATTTTTATATGTACCCCATGAAATCCAGTGAAATGCCATAAAATCCGGGCATCATCCATGTTTCCATTTTTTCCCTTGCTGGCGCGGGCAAACCCCCCAAGGTGGAGGTGTCAAAGCGGCAAGGCGCGGACATCGCGATCCAACGCGACGACTTGGAACGATGGATGCGGCGTTCTTCAGATTGCGATGCGGCTGCGGGGCAGGGTCCTGGAGATTTGTATGAGGATTTGTTGGGACAATATATAATAGTAACTAATATATATATATATTGTATATAAAGAATAGTTGTGACTAGTGGTTCAATAATTGTGGGGATATATATATATATATATATATATATATGTATACAGTGTTTGTAATATATTATATGAACCAACCAATATATAGCTCAGCCGGTTTAATGGGCTATTCGTTGGCTATCAATTAGATATCAATGGCATAATTTGCCGGACATGATTGTTCACCCATGAAATCCCCTTTAATTCAAATAGGACATGTGTGGTTCCATATGGCCTGTTCTGGTACTAAAGATATCTAAAGATTATGGTCGCAGAAACCATTCGACAGATGATTCTCGACAGCGAAGCGAGGGCTGAAAAGCGCAGAGCCAAGGCTCCTGGGTGGTGGATGGTCTTACCTTGCGGCCCCGAGGTTTAGTGGTCTTTGATATGGATAGCACCTTGATCCAGCAGGAGGCGAGCGGAAATGCTCGGTTGAAGGGATGTTTATTGCTGAAAGATGTTGAAACATGTTGAAACCAGTTTTTTTGCCCTTTATTGGTTTTTGCGTTTTTTCGTTTTGTTTGTAGTCTTTTCATCAAAGTAAATCTGGGAGAAACGCATATAATATAATGCCCGAGAACAGTATTTTCACCAAATTAGATATGAACATGGCCAATTTAAGTGGGGCATCCTCATTTTGTGGCCCCTGTTTTGGGGAGGTGCGTTTTAAAAAGTGGCATCCACGAACAGTTGGTAATGAAGGTCGATTGCATTCGATTGCTGATAAAAAACTCCTTTCAGAAAAGTGACAATCCTCCCGATCATCATTACTTGTGCTATGTCAAAGGTATTCATTTGTAGAAGGTGTTTGTCAGCATTTTCAACCCTCTGGCAAACTAACAGTTTGCTATGGAAAATCCCCACTGTTCATAGATAAATCAATGAACTAAATGGCAATTTTCAATAGCAAACTGTTAGTGATTACCAGAGGGCCCGAAAAACTTCTCATTTCATCCCATGAAATTCCGTTCAATCACCATGAAGTCACCATTTTCAACCAAGAAAATCACAGTTCTCCATTGGTAATTTCAATCACCGGTAAATCCACCATCAGCATGCTGCGATCATCCGGCAGGACCTGTTTTTTCAACAGCGGAACCAATAACCAACGAGTGGATTTATGGCTTTGAAAAAAAGGGGAAATCTAAGGAATTCTAAAGGATTAATCTACATTATTAATCTGATTGGTGGTTTGGAACATGAATTTTATTTTCCATTTCATATATGGGATGTCATCCTTCCCATTGACTAATATTTTTCAGATGGGTTGAAACCACCAACCATTACATTATTAATGATGTGAAACAACTCTGAGCAAAACATGAACAAGATTTCCGACTGATGCAAGAGGATGGGTCAATGGGTGATGTTGTTTGACAATCCAACAACCTTCCCAACCAAAATAAGAAAGGTGTTGCACCAGGAGTTATAAAAGTTATAAAGTTAATCAAAGTTATATATATATATAAAAGTTAAATATGCCACGATTGTCCCATTTCTCTTGCCACATTATATCCCCATTATGGCCGATCATCATGTTCCCGCTATTTCCCTCTTCCAGGTCTTGGGGGATCTTTTCCCCGTTCCAGGATTTTCCTCCATGTTTTTCAATGATGGAAATGTGATGGGACGTCATTCCACTTAGAAAGTAGCTCATATCCCCGGGCTTATAACCTATTTACTAAGTGGGCCGAATGGGTTCTAACTTGTCACCTACTTACTCTGGGATATGATTGTGTAAGTCCCTGTTTCGTGCACTGTCTATCACTTCCTGGAATGGGGGAGAATTCCTTCAATGAACCACCAAGTACCCTCCTGTAAATTAACATTGCTATTGAACATGGGCCAATACCTATCAAAAATAGTGATGTTCGGTAGTTATGCTAGTTTACCAGGGAGTAGATCACATTAAAACTGGGTGATGGTTTGGAACATGAATTTTATGTTCCATTATATATGGAATGTAATCCTTCCCATCGACGAACTCATATTTTTCAAGATGGTTATTGCACCACCAAGCAGTTACATATCATATCAAGTATTAATTTTACTTTGAATCACTGGATTTGCCCTCATTTGATCAGATGGAGCGGAATGATTCGATCGGAAAATCTCCTTAAATCACCATTCAATCTCAAGAGTAAGTAGCATCGTCCTTGGCGCAGGTCATCGATGAGTTGGCCAAGCTGGCAGGCGTCGAGGCGAAGGTGAAGGACGGAGCTATGACTTCCATCCGGGTTTTCATGGGATATAAAGGGATATTATATATACATAATATATTATATATATATAGTATACTATGATCATGAATGGTTCAACCATCAATCATGGGTGATTTTGTTGGATTTGATGTGATCTTCCACACGGGCTTCATGTGGATTTTACATGAGTTTATGAGATGTCTTGGTGTGATTTGATGTGGAATTCATGAGGAGTTTTACTGGTGTTGGGGTCATGGGGATTTGATGTGATTTTATGATCGTGTGAGGATTGTCAATTGGGATCTCATGGGATATGTTATCTCAAGTACAACTAATTAGCCAGCTTGAAATATTTGGAAGGGTTGACTGTAGCGGAGAGAGCGAACCAGTCTTGTGGGCTTGTAGGTCCAACTTATAACTGGACAAAGGGCTCTTATACAATGTGGTATCTTGGTTTTCACACCGACATGAGTGGTACAAATTGGATGTTCATCCCCCCAAATATTTAGTATACTATGGTATACTATGGTATACTAAATATACTAGATTATAAAATGGGTTTTCACCAATCTCCGTGTAATATCAAAACAATGGGGATACAATGGGGGTTTTGTACAACCAACAATGATAGTGGGATATAATATAATATAATATAATTTAGTGGGATGCTGTGTAACTCATCAACGTTATTTGATGATGTTTGACCATCAAAATTCAGGGTACTCTATTTTCCTACACACCCGCCTGTAGTGGTTACTTATTGATGGGTGAACCTCAAGTCGTATTCTTTGATCATTCTGCTCTGTTAATATAGCCAAGTACTGGGCCCCAGTACTGTTACTGTCTAGCTACTCAGTACAGTATTGAATGTGGGTTTTCACGGGGTAAGGCTTAGCTCTTGTGACATGAGCATACCTATCAATTAATTTCAGTATTTAGTATGATCTTGCGACTAATGAGATTGAAATAGTTGTATACCCCTTGAGGGATTCTAGTAATGACATTGCAACATATATTGGCGATCTGTGTTCATCATGATATTATCACATATTACTATGCTTGGATTATTCCAATTTAACATATATCAACTACATATACACTAGTATGTATTCCAGCTGATTGGTGATTGCTGTATTATTTTTTTGCAGCCGGAAATTCATCTGGAGCATCCCTAGCATCGAGTAGGGAAAAAGCAACAAAAAAGGGGTTGCAAAGACATGGCTATGGCTCGCGTTTCTTTTTTTAAACATATATGGACATATTAATATGTATATTATATATATATCTATCTATATATATAGATACGCATTGTATACATATAATACCCCAAAATTGCATTGATGGATATTGATGGTTTACTAGTACGACGAGCCATTTGGTGTTCCATTGCTACTTCCCGTGACCAATCAGAGAGGATAAAATACAGCAGGCAGCCGCTGGTCGGCGTGTTTCGTATTATATTCTACGCGTAATCATCCTTAGCAGAACATCGAAAGTTTAAACATCATTTCTATTTTAGAGGGGTTGTTTCAAACGTCCTTATGACTGATTTGTTCCAGTATCAGTATGACTACTACACACTTGTATGATGGTATGATACAATCAAATTCAACAGACCGTATGTATATGCATATATATATATATATGTACACGGATATACACAACCATATTTCGCCGTAGTAGTTTAGTTTGACTTATCTATCTAGCGTGTTTATCAACAGTTTTGTTCAAGTGTCCGTACTGTATATATATAATTATATATATATATTTATTAAATGATATAAATGTATACAAATGTATATAAATGTATATAAATGTATGATATAGTAGTACCTTAAATACGCCATAGACTTCGAAACGGCAGGAGATCACCGAGGCGGCCATGCGTGGCGAATTGGACTTCTTTGGTTCCCTGAAGTCGCGCGTGGCGCTGCTGAAAGGCGCTGAACGAAGATGGGGGAGATTTTAGGGGAGATTTCATGGGAAGTTCATGTGGATTTAATGGGATCTAATGAGGATTTCATGGGGATTAACAGGGATTGTTTAGGAAGATGAGTTTCTATGGAAAATCCAGGCGATTTGATTGAAAACGAGCGACTTGCACCCATTGCACACCCTGGGGGGTACCTCCTTCGGCTGGTGGTTTCAAATATGTCTTATGTAAATCCAGTCGTCCCTTCTGAGGACATTTAGGGCATGATTGAGAGGGTTAAGGTTATGTCCACCTCTATAGTTTATTCTAATGTTTTTAAACTTGAAAAAAAAACAAAAAAAAAGGAAAACACATGGAAAATCAAAAAGCAAAACTTCAAAACCGAAAAAAAAGGAAGCAACATAAATGGGGAAAAAAAGAAACGTCAAAAAGGGGGAAACATGGGAAAAAATGGACTTGTCCATTTGCATTTTTGTTGTTTTTTTTTTGCTTTTTCGATTTGTTTTTTTGCTTTTGTTTTTTTTTGCTTTTTTTGCTTTTGCCTGGAAAAAAGCAAACAAAAACAAAATAAAGCAAAACAAAAGCAAAAAAAAGCAAATCGAAAAAGCAAAAAAAAACAACAAAAATGCAAATGGACAAGTCCATGTGTTTCCCATTTTTTGCCCTTTTATTTTGCTTTTGTGTTTTTTGGATTTTGCTGATTTGCTTTTTGTTTTTTTCAATGTTTTTTTTGCATTTTTTGCGTTTTTTCAAGTTTTTAAAAAATAAGAATAAGCTATGGTTTGGTGAACATAAGGTTAAGGAGGGTCAAGTACATTCTCAGGAAGTTTGTCAATCCAATATAGTACGTGTTTCCACATAATCCCTTTGAAACCTCAAGCCTCTTCAAATACTTTGTTTAGTCTCTATCCCTTGTAGGCACTATGAACCATTTCTATGTTTCTGGGAACAGATCCCATCCATGGCTCAGCACCAGCAGCGCCAGGGCACAACGCCGAGGAACTGTTTGCCAAAGTCAAGGCAATGGCGCAACAGAGATACCAGAGATGTTTGAGATGTTCAGATTTTGAAGATCAGAGCATCTGCAGGCATGACAGAAAGAAACTTGCATTGTAATTATATAGTAGTTACATAATCACATGTGTGTTTTGGGTAATGATGCCTATAGATTATCTACTGATGGTACGAACATCTCAGGATGACACTGGCTGAATTTAGTCACGACGTCACCGGCCAAAGTCACTGGAAATTATGATTTGTGTGTGGAGAATCACCTCAAAATAGTCTTTATTTCAGGCCGCTGAATTATTGTAATTCAGCGAGATGATAGCAAAAAAACTTGGATGCCTAGATTATACGTATGTATATATATATATATATATGTACACTGCATATACATCTATACAGTATATATATATACTATATGCATGTATTATATATATATATATGCAGACACAGATACACATGTTACTTTCATGCATTTGCCAAAGCCCCTAAACCATGTCAAGCATACCCTGTATGACTCACCAGCTATGCACAATCGGGGTCTATTAGTAACCCGGGATGATGAAGTCACGCCTCATTTTTTGAAAGGAATCTGATATTTTGATATATATATATATGTTTGTATTGTTGAATTGTTTGTTTCGGCGCACTATTTTGGGGGTGTCTCAAAATTGGCAAACTGAAAATAGCTGAAAATAGCTGAAAATCATTGAAAATCACTGAGCACCCCTAGTTTTATCATGCCATTTGCGCGTAAAAAGGCAATTAATGATATTAATCAGGATATACAGTGTGTAATATACCGTAATGCAAAGTTTATGTTGAGCCAACCCACATCAACGGTATCAAGGTATTCAACCTGCAGTAAGATATCATGGTCAGGAAACCTCATGGTCAGATCCAACCGCCAGGCCAATTTGATCTTCACCCCTGGCGCAAAGAGGCTGTGTACCTGCTTGAAGCGTCCCCTGGTGAAAAAAAGGGAATAGTGGTGACAAGCGCGGCAAGTGGGTCGGTTGTTCGTCCAAGAACTTGAATGAACTTGGATGATTTCGGCCAATTTTCAGCGGTTCAAGGGAGGGTCACGTACACCAAGGACAACCCAAAACAGACTGGTTTCCTTCTTACTTGGTGGTTCACCCCAGCTGTTGCAAGCCCTGTTGTAAGATGTTGTAAGTAGGGTAAGTAGGGTGAGTCGGTTAGTCCGGTTATAATAATAAACTACTTACTACAGTTGCTACAGTAACTGGGGTGAAGCATGAAGTTGGGAACAAACAGCGGCTGCAAAGCTTCGAAAAATAGGTGTTTTTTCAGCAAACAACCCTGGACTCAAACAGAATGATTTACCCTGCGGTGATTTAAGCTAGCTATGGAACATGGCCCATTTATAGATGATTTACCTATTAAATATGACGATTGTCCATGACTGTCCCTGGATGTGTTAAATAACCAGAGGGTCTCAACTATACACTATTCTCAACTGGGAATCTGCAGAACCCCCCAATGAAAAACCAAAGAAAAAAAGCACGCGACTTTCTCCATTGCTAGATGATGTTCCTATCATCCATTTCAACACCTTCCATTGAGGGATTTTCTCATCCAAGAACCTCCATATTTCCATCCATTTCCCAAGGTTCATGGATTTTCCCATCCAAAACATGGATTTTCCCATCCAAAACCTCTATTTCCCAAGGTTCAGTCACAGTGATTTCTAGGTCTCGGTTTCAAGACTGCTGTGATCTCTGGTGGCTTTCTCCCGGTGGCCCGGGAGGCGAAATGGCGAAGGGGCGAAGGATGGTGGAGTTTCACCAGAAACCAGCAGAAATTGTGATCTTAACATATAATGTGTATGTATATATATATCTATTTACCAGAAAACTTGGTGATTTTCAGCAAAGATGAAGTGATTCAATGGTGACTTCAGCATTTAAAATTGCGATTTATCCATCAAAATTGTGGACGGACATGCAGTGAAACCAAGGGAACATTGGCATGGTTTATCCTGGTTTAGCCCTAGACTCAAAGACCAGGTTGTGTCCTCAGCCAATCTTCCCTTCAACCAATCCTTTGAGCATTTCACTACAGTAGCAGGAATTGGTTTTTGGTAGAAGTTTAGCAACCATCACATGGATTAAACCAACAATAGAGAGCCAGTTTTGATAGCTTGGCTCAACCCATACATACAGTTTCACCACCTTTTTTTACATGCCAACTCCGTAGTCCTTGTTTTGTTTGACTTTGATATGTTCGACATATATAATAATATAATATATAGTATATGTGTGTTCTTATATAAGTACATATATAAAGCTCGAGCAATGCCCAAATGCTGTAATATGAGCTGTAATTTATAATATATAAATGGGTTCGTCTAGAAACAAAGGACACCCCAAAACTTGATGCTTAACCACCATTTATCCTGCTAAAGGGGCCATGACTGACTTGGGGTTCAATCCCTGTTTTCAGACAAACCCATACATTTTGTATGTTCCACTATTGGTAATTATAAATTGGTATGTACATAAATATATATATATAGTTATATATACACCCCACCATTTTATCCAACCATTGTCTTCCATTATATATATATACACATCCTGGAGTAGACTGAATATGGAAATGTCCAAAGTCCTCAGGACAATGGGAATATCTTTGAAAATCCCATAGTCTATCTACTTCAGGTCAGGATGACTATGTATATACTAAGTGTATATATATACATATCCATATATATATATGAGTATAATATATATATATATACATATGTATATATATATATATTATACTCATATATATATAGATGTATTGTATCCTCAATTCTGTTAAAGGCTCAAGCGGTTCAACATGCCCAGCAGCCAGGTCCAAAGAGAATTGGACTTGGACTATGCCTTCGCAAACACCTTAGAGGTGGATGAAACCACAGGCGAAGACTCAGGTGTTTTCTGTTGGACAATGGAGTCAACCAACAGATTTTGGGATATGAAGGGGGAAATCTATTGGAAGGTAATGTGATCTACTGAATCTACTGGGATACAACTAACCAATAATATGGTTTGGAGTGATTTGGATTTCTCCTTCAAAATGGGTGAACATGATCAAATATATTCAATTTGTGGCACTCTTAGTATATATCTTTTGATGAGGAAGATGAGGGTCTCAAACCACTGGATAACTTGGGGTATTTTCAGACAAACTCAGGTGGTAGTTATGTGGGCCGTTGGCTTTGAAATCTAGGTGAGAAATTGGATCACTTCTACCTTTTTGCAATCCTTTAGATGGACTACTGACGAGGTATGATCTGTCAAAGAGATACTTGTCAATATGGCCTCATTTAATCCCAATGAACTCCTACTTCTAACGTCCTATCAGTGCTATCTGTAGTTTCAGTAAGTGTATGTTTGGCGAGCAGCACCTCACTATTTTGGTCAAGTGTGCCTGATCGTCGCCAGACTGAAACTACGTGGAAAGTTCTCTAGCGATGGCCAGAAGATTTTTTGGACACCATAAGACAGTCTGCATGAGGAACTCATTGTTTGGGACAGGATTCATGACGATGACCAACATGTGGGGTCGTCTGACTACCATCACCACACATTAATTGACATTTCCATACATTTCTCCCCAAAAAAAAGGCAACTTGGAGACGGACACTTGCTCTGAGTGTATTTTTTTTTGACCACATGATATCATCACCAGCTACACCGTCAGTGGACCAACACATCACATGGTTGAGAGTATGGATCCGTTGTCCATGAAGCGTCATTGGATTGATTTCAGGGTGGTGTGCCATTCAAACATATCAATGTTTTCATATGATGTACGTGTTAGATATGTTATATATCTACATTTATGTATTTACATCACATCACATTACATTAAATTATATATATATGTAATAAAAATATGATATTTTGTGCAGTATACACAGAAACAGAAACACACCATCACATGTCATTACATTATCTTACATCACATTACATAATATATTATTTATTATGTGCAGTATTTCCGCAGAAAGAGCAACACACCATCGCATTTCATTGTATCTCATTGCATCACACTTCACACTACATCATTTTACATAACATTACATCACGTTACATAACATTAGTTGATCTATATACCTTTATGTATAAGATGATATTATGATACATATGTGTATATATATATATGTTATTTTTTTGTTATATGTTTCCTTGTTATATTTTCTTGATATATATATATATATATATTATGTACATATACATTTATACATTATTTGTGCATATGTATGGGAATGACCGGTAGTCCTTAGGCAGAGTTCAGAAACTCCCCAGAGCTCACACTCGGCAGGTCTACTGACAGGACAGACGTCTGGACCTGTCGTAACACCTCAGCGCAAGCGGCAGCTGCTGGCAACCATCGCCAATGTGGAAGGCCCTGCCGCTGGCGAGAACGGGGATTGAATGGAATAAGTCATGAGAAAGGAACATGGGGATATTGTACAAAGCAACTTGGTAGAGGTGAGTGTATCAGAAAAAGGGTTATATATTATATGTATCCAGGAAAAAACATGACATCATGGTGGAAATGATGATGAATCATCAAATTTGGAGATTCTCGCCCAAATTGTCAGACTTAAACTTGAACCCATCTACGAGCATGAAATTATGAATGCATGAAATGCGATGATGATCCCCAATGATTCATGGGTTGAAGCCACCAACCAGTATTTTCTTTAGCTTTAAACGTTTTGATATATATTATATATATATAGCTATAATTATAATTGTATACATACATATATATATATATACATCTACAAACACACTATCATGGCAGTCATGTATCACACGTGACTCACGACTCACGTTTTGGTCAATCTACTCGCCCCAAAGCTTCGGTAAAAAAGGCCGTCTTTGGATGGCCGCGAAAACAAAAGCACCTGAAGTCGTGGCACATCAATTGAGGATCTATCTTCCTGAGGAAAACACTGGAAAGGCGATGTCTTAAAAGTGAGCAACCCACTTTTCCTGGGATCCCACATTGTCATGGCCAAACAAGGTGGCACTTGGATATCTTGGATATCTTGGATCCACGTTCTTTCCCTGCGCAGGTTGCGAAATTCAGCAGACCATTGCGGTGGGTGATGGTGCCAATGATATTCCGATGCTCCACGCGGCAGGTCCTTCCCGGAAGACCTGCCTGGGGGATGACCTGGCTGGGGCCTGGATGACATGTTTTGACCTTGGGAGCCATCAAAAATACACAACGGTTGATTGGTTAAATAAAAAAAGGGACTGATACACTGAGCAAAAACAGTTTTGTGAAAAAATGTTTGAAGATTGAAGATGATAAGATGGGAGTATGATCCCAAGTGCCTTTCATGTTTCTTGGATGCTTGGTTCAACATGGTTCGACCAGCAGTCAGGAAAAGATTGGGAAGTTCGTACTTGTCAGAGGTTGAGAACCCATGATGCCGAGTTGATGTTGGCTCAAGGCACATCCAACATGACCCCGCGAAAATGTTAAGGTTTCAGATTTTCGATGTTTGTGTACCCTCAGGTAATTTAACATGGCTGTGGAAAATGGTCCGTTTATAGTGTGTGATTTTCCATAGATACGTTTGTTTATCAGAGGGTATGTTTGTGTTGGAATATACTCTCCATATTTGCTTGTTTTGCTTGTTGCTATTGAAATCCCAGGTTTGAGTCCAAACTGGTTGGGTACATCCCAAACCCTATGTTTGTCATTCGACTCCCTATTTGCATTGCTAACCACCACATTGTTTAAATAGGTTTTGTGAATAATCCCTATCTCTTTTAAGCCTGGATGGGGTAATTTTGTTGATGAATGATGCACCACCCCAGCAAAATTGTCTATTTGTCATCAAACGTATCAATACCTGGATCATACCTACTTGAGGGTGCATCCCAGTTAGTGTTTAGCAAACATTATATGAAGAACACGGGAAGAGCCCCCGCCTGGGTTACCCCAAAACCCCGGTCCGATGAAGTGTCAAGAACGTCGTCCAGGCGGAGGGAGCAAGACTCCCCGACAAAGGGCTGCTTAAGGAGAAAATTGTCCATTATTCTGATAGACCTACGGATCCTACGGGTTCTTCTTACACTGTTCTGGTTGGGTCTATTTGCTCCAACCGGGGCGAAGAAACTCTTGCGATTTGCGGGAAGGGACAGACAGCTAGAGCCGAAGGATATTGGGGAACATGGGTTGATGATAATTTTGGGAAACCGAACCTCTACGATTCATGAGGGCAAGGCTTGTTCTTGTGAGGAAGCGTGCTGAAGGCATTTCACAAAAGCTATGTTCGTGGGATTTGTCCCTTTTATCATAGGATTTTGCCCTTTTTTTGGGGCATTGCCCTTCCTTGCGCAAGGAAATGATCACTATAAAATTTAAGTTTCATATATATATATATATCAGCTAATATCTTAGACATAATATTTGTTCAACCCCGTTTTGGAAACCTCTGAGGCCAAAACACCACGTTTCTGGCTTTGAGCTCCAACATGTAGGCAGACACACAGACAGATACACATCGATCGCGCGCGTGCACACTAACTTCACTTTCAAGGTGAAAGGATAGTCATGGCTGGTGGCTCACTGGGCCATCTTGGTGCCAAGGTAGGTGGATGTGGCTCACTGGGCCATTTTCTTTTGGATTCTTTCAAGGTACTTCACCAGGCCCAGGCTCAGGTTGGTGATTCGCTGGCGCTGGTTAGCCCCCAGGCATTGTATAGATATGGATTTTGGGATTTTTGACCTTTGGGCTTGTGACAGGTCTGTTCCACTCAACGCTCTTTTCGGTTAATCCTCAGTTTGTGCAATGGAGGAAAATTTGGACATGAAGATGCAGATGGCTGCCTTCTACCAGCAGTGCATGACTGTGTATCCAGGCCGCGATGTCGAGGAAGAAGGTGAGCTGGTGAAGGAGATCTCTACAAGAATCTTGCGGGGGTGTGGTGTATGGTGTTCCACCAAGCCGTTGGCACATCTAGCCACTGTTCTTGTGTCTGCGCGATGTTTGGTGGATCGCCCAGACGCAGCTGTTGAGACAATCACCATTCAAAGCCTGGTCCCCCGGAGAGATTCACGCTGCCTCACTTCGTGGATTGCAAGTTTGTGCAAAGATGACATGGAACGCGTGATCTTCGAAGGGGACAAGGCCATCCTAAACATCGACGTCTGGATGTTCAGCGAGCAAGCCGAGCTGACCCCATCCCTGATGGACCTCTGTTATCAGGCAACGTTTGTCCTCAGTGACATTGTCAGCGCCTGCTGCCGCCTGTTTCTGCGAAGGTAGCAATCTGACCAGCAGAGTCGGAGAAGATGTGGAAGAAAAGTCCGCCGTTGTTTCCGGGAATTGTTGATTAACCCGGGACTAGGTGCCTTCCAAGGCCATGTGCTGAGGTGGCTTCAAGGGCCATTTTGATTCTTGCCCTTTGTGCTGGCTGTTTGCTTCGGGTGGCTCACTGGGCCATTATTCCTTGCCTGCTGTGCGTCTCAGGTGGCTCACTGGGTCATCATTTCTGCTTGCTGCATGCTTTGCGATTCAGGTGGCTCACTGGGCCATTTTTTGTCACCTTTTCCTTTGCAAAAGTTCGGCCACCCTCCCTGGCCACAGTCTCTGTCAGCATGTTGTTGGACAGAACTTTCCTGCAGCTGTCATGGTCACTCAGCCTTGCCCAGGGGCATTTGCTTCAATTTACTTGTTTTCAATCATTTAGATATTTTTAGTGGCATTCAACCTTCATGCCGCACCAATTAATTATTCCATGTTTTTCACCAAGATTTGCACTAACTTAGCCCTGTTCATTTCAAATCCAATCATGTCGGACCCGTCGTTGCCATCAGATGTGTCTGGGCTGTCTGAGTCTGATGAAGGAAGCATTATGCTTCCTGATGCGGTCATGGACGTTTCTTTGGACAATGCAAGTGAACCTGTCATCGCTCAAGACTTGCCTCATCGGGTTGATGGCGCCTGTTCTGATGGAGAAATCAGTTTGCCAGATAGTGTCGGTTCAGTGGATCTGCCGTCTGATGTGGACATGGATGCAGAAACCATTCCTTCACCCAGAGTTGCTGTACCTGTAGCCTCGCAGGTGCCGTCGCCAGCAGACATCAGAAGGTGGCTGCGGTCTGGCCAAGCTATGTTGTCCGAACCCTGCGCCATGGAGTTGTACAGCCCCCCACGAGCTTTGAAGGCATCAAGTCTGGCCAGTCGCTGGGCTCTTACGCAAATTTTAGGGTATCTGTGCTTCGATTTGCTGACCGGTTGGGATTTTGACCAAATCGAATTGAAGGAGTTGTCCCTGCAGATTTTGCATTTTTGCACGGTTTCCTTTTTGTATTTGAGCCCGCCGTGCACTATGTTCAGCGCTTTGCAGCGCTTGTGGAGCCAGCGCAGAATGCCTACTGCTGTGTGGGATAGACGCTGGAAGCAAGCAGTGGAATGGCTACGGCACTGCATGGAGGCCATCAAAATCCAAATCTCCAAGGGTCAGAGGTTCATGTTTGAGCACCCAGCTCGCGCAAGCTCTTGGTCGTTGGAAACCATCAAAGAAGTACAACGACTTCCTGGCGTTTTGTCCGTTTCCTTTGACATGTGCAGTCTGGGCATGAAGTCGCCTTTGAACGAGCCCATCAAAAAAAGGACCGTGATCATGACGAATGATGCATGGCTCGCAAAGGAGCTGGGGCAGCACCAATGCAGCCGAGATCACGCCCACCGTCACATACAAGGATCTCAATTGGGACCCTCTGTGAGCCGGTGGTGCCAAGTTTATCCACCGGCCTTGTGTGCACTGCTACCGGCCTTGTGTGCACTGCTTGCTGCGGCCTTAGATCGACAACCGCATTCTTGACATTGAAGTCTTTGACGACGCAGCAAAAAATTTGCCCTCAACTTCTAGTCTGGACCGTTTTTGCTTGGGGTCCATGTCCATTGCCAAGTGGCGCTCTGTGTTTCTTTCTGGGCGTGGCTCTGCGGGCCATTTTCTGGAATTGGTGGCTCAATGGGCTATTTTGTGTACTTACTTGGTGGCTCCATGGGCCATCTTGAGGACTTGTTGGCTTCTTTTTTGTCATGTTGCTTAGTACCTGCAACTTTTTGATCTGATTCGTGTCATGTTGGCTGTCTAGTTACTAGTTATTTTTTCTCGGGTCAATCACTATAGTCCTTCTTATAATACTTTATCCAGGATCCCATTGCATTAAAAAACGCATGGCCAGATACCAGCTTCGGTTTCGCCAAGTAGAGACCCAGGTGCACCAGCCCAAATGGGTTCGATTTCCCTGCGGCCTTTTTCCTAGCTACCAACAATCATAAGAAGTTGACGATTGGGTAGCTGGTATGGCAGGTAGTTCGCACGAGGTTGAGCTGCCGCCTGATGTCGGAAGTAGTAGTAGCGATGATGTTGCCATGGATGGCAGCCCTGAATCTGACATCGTCTTGCCAGACGATATGCAGACACCGTGTTGCAAAAAAAACTGTTTAGACAAGGTTTCCGAAACAAGCAGAGCCAACGCAGACAAGCTGAAAGATAGTTTGGCTTTGCTGGGGCTACCTGCCAAGAACACCATCTGGTTCAACCAGCTCTTGAATATGAACCGGGAGCACCTGAAGGTCAGCATCTCAGAGTTTTTTCTGGGAAGGGCATGCCATGTGCTTGACATCCTTCAGTTCTATGACCGGTGCCCCTGCCAAAAAAATTCGGTTCTTCCTGAAGATGATTGCCCAGGGGGAATGCGTCGCTGTTCCGGTCCAGTTCCGGTGGATGGTCCAGAACCAGGTCCAGAACCAGACAGCAATCGACCAGAACCAGGTCCAGTTCCGGTGGATGGTCCCTGTGCAGCGTCTTCGTCGTCGAGGCTGCCAGGGGAAGACGACGAGCAGGTCGAGGAAGATGACAACATCACAATTTTGCCGACCGATGAAGAGAACGACACAGAGGGGTCAATGGACGAGGAGCAAGGAGAAGTGTTTGCGAGGCTAGCGCCACACTTCGCTGCCATACGTAGTATGGGGCTGAGAGTCCCTCCGCTCCCCAGACCCCTGCAGGAAAGCAAAAGGGCTATGCTCCGAGGAGTCAAACAAAAATATAAAAGGAAATCCCACAAACAGAGAAACCGGCTCGTCTGCAAGAGCCGTGCTGCGCCAAAGACGCACAGGGGCCGGTGGGAGCCGTGACAGAGCAAAGCCATGGGGTTGAAAAAAGAGTCAGGGTCAGGTCAGGGCCAGGGTCAGCACAGTTTGGTTTGGTCGCATGCCCTGGTGGTTCCCTGAGCCATCTTATTAGGTAAGTACAGTAGTGGGACCAAGAAGTTAGGCTCAATGGACCATATTGTGGCTCACTGGGCCATGGTGCGGTGGCTCTCTGGGCCATCTTGTTGTGGCTCTGCTGGGCCATGTTGTTGTGGCTCTGTTGGGCCATATTGTTTTGGTTTCACTTGTGGTTTTCCCTTGCCACTCTGGGCCTCCTCCTCTTACTTCAATGTGTTGTCGCTGCCGCTGTTTGCGTGCTGCAAGACAATGCAGTAGATTCAACGAATGTACAAATATCTTTCAAGCATGTCATCCAAGCACCTTCAGGGCACCGCATAGATGTTAACCATGTATCACCCTCGTCAACCAAGTAGCACCCGGGAACCTCATGGCACTGAAACACCATGTTGGTCAACACTTAGCTGGTCAACGCCGGTTGTTCCAATCATCATGCATGAATGCCATGACTGCTGCCCCGGTACGAACTGTTGGCTTTGCCCAGCTCTGCATTTGCTACTTCTGCGACTGCGCCGAGCCGTTCTATATGACAAAATGGTCATTGATTGCGCAGCCTTCGTCGACGTGTACACTGGAGACTTGGGATGTCATTTCGGGACGCATGACATTACGCTCGAGTCCTTGTGGTTCGCCCCTCAAATGAAATCAATATTGCAAAAGATCCTAGCTTGTCTGACAGCACCACAGCTAACCCTCAAAATCGCACTCTGTGTGCACAGTGGGAGCGTGCACCGACCGGAAGGTTGTGCATGGCTCTTATAAAAGGGCTGTTATCATGATGCTGGGCGCTGGCTGTTCTATCACATATGATGTCAGATCCCACAACGAGACAAAACTTTGTGGAAACTGTGCAGAATGCAAGGAAGGAACTGAGTTCAAAGAACTTACAAAGCGCTGGATGAGAGAGCGATGGAACCAAAAAGAAAAGGAACTAAACCTAGTGAGTCACCTTGCCGCTAGTGGCTCTCTGGGCCATGTTGATCACTGCTCGCTGTTTGTGCTGGTGGCTCCATGGGCCATTTTGCTCATGTTGGTTAGCTCTTAGCTGGGTGGTTCTCAGGCCATCGCTGAATCAAGCCAGTGCTGTTAGTTTTGTTTCTAAGACGCACTTCCCGCACACACGCACACACGTGCAGACGTGATGGGAACCGCCACAATAACTGTAAGTACCACAAAAACACCTCCAGACCAAACACAAATCCCATAAACGTGGGGTTTTGGACTCAGAGGCTTCCAAAACGGGGCTGAACAAATATTATGTCTAAGATATTAGCTGAGATATATTATAAATTTACAGTAAATTTTATAGTGATCATCTCCTTGCGCAAGGAAGGGCAATGCCCCCAAAAAAGGGCAAAATCCTATGATAAAAGGGACAAATCCCATGAACATAGCTTACAATATCTCACAGCACCTGACATTGAACCCTCCTCTTTGGGTCTCACGGAAGCAGGAGTTGAAATGGCTAGACGGAATACAAGGAGGGCCTGGTTTGATCTTCTGCCTTGCTTTCTTTTCTAAAGAAGATGCTTTATTTTTTTTTTGCGGCGTCGCTCCCTACATGGGGTGGGGGCAGCGGGGGTCGGCTCTGTTCTCCCGCAGCCGCCCACCGTGCTGGTTCAAGGCAACACAGCGGCCTAGTTCCCGCCCTGCGGATGCCCTGTGCCTAGATTGGAAGAGTTAAGAGGAGCTGAGATGAGTTGAGAAGAGCCGAGGAAAGCCGAGACGAGCTGAGATGAGCGGATCCCACTGCAGAAGGCTGACTCCAGCCGAGACAAGCTGAGGAAGGCTAGAATGGGCTAAGGTGAGCTGAGATAAGATTTGCAACTTTCCGAGCAGAGCCGAAAAAAATTGAATTGGGTCGAGAAGAGCGGGCCAGGGCTGACTAGAGACTCAAGATGACTTGAATATGATTTAATATGATCTATTCAGTTTTTTCCCAGCGCATCAAGAACCCACAAATTTGTTGGATTTTGTCCAAAAACATGCTTTTTCTGCAGTTCTCATATTGTTCCTCAAAAAAACATGTCTTTGGCCAGGGGAAAAACCCAGTTTTTCTCACACTTGGTGTCATGACATCTCATGATCCTTCCTCTTACCCGTGCTACTACCCGGAAGATATAGCGGCCAGGGATCCGGTTGACAAAAATAATATTGCAGAGGATATGCGAGGCCCTAAACCGGACATTGAAACAAAGGGGGCGCCGGAGATGTCGGGGTCAGCGTGACAAAACCGCGCGCGCCAGGTACCTGAGACTTGTGCCTACAAAAGAACAGCTTTGGGCTATATATGTTTATATATGTTTATATATGTTTATATATGTTTATATCTATCTATCTATCTATCTATCTATCTATCTATCTAATGAGTTACAGGTTCAAACCCACGTGTACACTAACTGGGATGCACGTTGAGCCGTGAATATCCCATGCGTTTTGTGGGGGGAAGTCACCCAGCTGGCACCTTCCAGGCCTGGGCATTGCCTTTTGCGCCAAACCGAAGGTCAGGGAAAACATGGGTGGCCATCAAATTTTTAAGAGAGCCTTGTATGCGGCACCCAAAAAGATACCGAAAAGGTTCAATTTAGCAGTTTGTCTAAATTTAACAATATTTCAATTGTTCTAACAGGATTTTGCCAATTTCTATCCCTTTGGTGTTGCTATAGACCTGCTCAAGATGTTTTAGTGTTGATACTGTACCGGGAAAATCACCAGAAAAAACTAAGATATTAACTCATGATGGGGCCAATAACAACGGACCCATAAATCCTTCACAATGGGGAGAGACACAACAATAGACAATAGTTGGTTGGTGCTTTCAAACTGTCTTATATTTTCTACCCGGAAACATTGGGGTGATGATCCCAACGACGTTTTGATTTTGAACATTTTTTTGGTCCAAACGCTTCAAGAAAAATCGCCAAACATGGGTGCCTGAGGTTTACCCATCCAAAGTGGTCGTATCATGATCAAGGCTGTAGTTTGTTGTATTTCCAGTTGTGTATAGCCGAGCATCTCCATCTTGGTGGAAACAAAACACATCAATGTTTTAAATATGTTTTGTGTTCCAAGTTGATCATGTTCAGACTAGAAAATACTAAAGTTTGATCCTTAAGAACCAGAACGGGATTGTTCGAACAAGGTTACTTACACTCCAAAATCGTTTTTAAGATCAAATTCAATGGTTATTAATCCAAATCAATGGATTTGTTTCCATGTTTTTTCAATTTTGAGCCTTCCGCAGGTTCAAGAGGTGTCAAGATATCGCATCAATCAGATGGACCTCAGTACTGTGCTGTTTCTCATCGGAATTTCCGTTCCTCGGCTTCGGTGCCATCGGACCAGGCTAAGTGCTAACTAGTACTAACTAGGGTTTATGGATGTTTACGGTAGATATATCTCTAGTTGATATGGGTTATAGATGGTTATAGCATGTGACAATCCAGCAAACACAACTGGGGGACACATTGTACCATTGAATGCTGAGGTGGCTGCCAAATTGGTTCAGGGTTTCAAACTGGTTGCAACCTAAAAAAAGGCAATCCCCTAAAACATGCCGAAACGTGTTTCCATTATGATATATATATATAGATAGATGATGTTTCCCCATATTTTCCGCATGTCCAAGTGTCTTATTTTTTAGGTTTGCTATAATATTGATTATTGGAAATCAAAACCAGACGTTTGGTGCCTTGAGCTATAATTTTAGTTTGTGGTGTGGTTTGAGGGTTGCATTTGAAACCATGTGATTGAAGACGCCATCGCTTTCACTCATTTTGGGTCATGGGGGAGAAAACTTGAGAGTCGCAGATTTGGTGAAAGCAACTCGGTTCGTGACTCGACCAACAAAACTAGGCCAACTTCCAGGATATCCCCAAATTCACCAGCCATCAACAGGATCAATTTTCTGGTATGGATAATGAATGAAAATGTAAGCACCCAGACATGGTCTACGTGTTCTGCTACCTATTTTCCAACTACAATTTTTACCAGAAGGCATATCCTCAGTTGTTGATGCGTTTCCTGGTATTTGGTTGGTTCAGTGACTTGAAATACCCAGTTTTCTAACCCCTGAAATTTGGTGGATGACGTGATCATGTGTTTTATAAACATTATATGGGATCTCATCCTTCCCATTGACTTTCATATTTTTCAAGAGGGTTAAAACCACCAACCAGTATTGAACTATCTTGATCATTGGGTTTATCTCAAAGCTGGAACCTTGGGGCCCATCCCCCTTTGACAAACCTATTTGTGGCTTTGCTTAAGGACATCAGAAAACCCTGATGGTTTATCCTCATTATCACCAAAAAAGGTTAAAATCTTGTGGGTTAATCCCCGTAATTGATGGTTAGAATCCAATGTATCACACATTTGTTTCTGGTTCAGAGCACTTGTTTTTTGGTGAACTCCACCTTTGTGGCTTGTGAAATTATACTGTTGGCTGCCTAGATCAAGTTACATCCACCTCACTATTGGTTGGATTCCTTTTTTGTTGTTCGTTGATTCTACATTTTGTTGGTCAAATGTTTGTTTTTAATGCTTAGATCCCTATGTTTCTGTAGTGAAAAACCCTGTGTTTGTTGGTTGAGTGCCCATGTCCATCAAGGAGAGGGCCATGGATCGCCTGGCGCTTGAGTGCCCATGTGCCTTGATACATCCCGTTAACCAATGAGGATATCAGTGTGGTGCGGGACATGATGGGATATAGTTGGGATAGTCCATGCAATGTGGTGCCCCCCAGCTATGTTTGTTGGTTTATAATGGCTTATAAACCTAATTAAGTATAGCAGATTATAAACCATTATAAACCCATTATAGTCATATAATATATAACTAATTAAGTATAGTCATATATAGCAGAAACCCAGTCGTCAGATTCGTTCACCAACTTTGCGATTCCACATGGTCTGAAACCTTGGATCCCCAAAAAAGAAACCAGGTCCAGTTCAGAGGGGTTTAGAATGGAGACATTTCTGAGAGAAAAAATGATAGAATTTGGTGTGGCCAAAGATGGTTGGATACATCGGTGCTTGATCGCTAAGTATGTGTGATTTCAACTCGGGCTAGTCGACTAACAAACGGTTCAGCATGTGAGATGTGTGTTTGTGAGATCGATGACTTACCGGTGTAGTGAACTAGTGTGATTGCGCAAAGGTTGTTGAAGTTGGGGTTTGTCTTTGATTTCAAACTGTTTTTGCAAAAAAAAATGTCAGTTTGTTTTGATTTCATGTTCTGACTGGAGAGATAGTGCTGATGTTGCTGTCTTGCAGTAGTGACTAAGCAGATTTACAAACGACCTTTCCAGGAATTATGCAACGATGGTCAAAAAGATGTCATTGTCTTGGAAACTTTGAAATTCTTTGATGTTGGCAAGTGACGACTGACAAACGACATTTGACTAGTGACAACTGACGAACCTGAACTTCGATAATGTTAGACAGTCAGCATTGCCAATTGCTCGTGGCTCGATTTGCTATTTCACTCCGCTCAGCTCTTTGACTTCAGTTTGGGGCTCAATTCTACTTTGACCTCCTCGGACAAACTTGACTTGCTTGAGAACATTTCAGTGACTTTGTCGTACCAAATTGTATGAGCAGATTTAGTCTGTACTGCAAAAAAAGGTCGTGACTTTGTTCGTTCACATTTGTACTGTAGCAGATTGTTTTGTATCCATGTCTGGTGTTTCATTTTCCCAAGGCAGTCGTAACAATGCAGCAGTGCCAGGGCCCAAGCAGTGAATCAATCTCAAAATTGACTCGGTCCGTGGCAGTCACACTGTGCTGACGAAAGGTTTTTTTAAGTATCCAATTTAGCAGATTGAATGTTATTCTTGGCCTGCCCTGGTAATCCAATCTCATCAGATGTTCATGTGTGCAGGCATGTGTGGAAGTGCCTCAGTTTTGTCCGTGCTTCACTCAGTGGGTTCAACTGCAAGATCAACAAGTTTTTCATGTCATGGGTCTGAGTCAATGTTCCGGCTGAAGTGCTTGAGTTGTTTGGCTTGATGAACCCGCTCTATTAACTTTGATTGTCTTTTGCCTGGCCCAAACTTACACTGACTCTGACTAAAAACACGGTCATTATTATGTCATGTTTTAGAATTCAATTTGGGTTTCACTATTCTATTGAATCTTTCAACAACCCAACCATGAGAAGTGAAGAAGAGCGTGCAGGTGTGTAGGAACTCCTGTGGCCAGCCATGTCCACGCTGAATTTGGAAGCTGATCTGGTCCGAGAATACCTCAATGTTTGTGGCATAGATCTCAAACTTGAGCAATGCTGCAGACTGCTTGGGGATCAAAAGTTGTTGCTTTGTTTGCACTTCAGATCTGTGTGTTGTTTGCCAGTTTTGCACAAAGACGCACAGGAGATCCTTTATTATTGTCCATATCATGTCAGACGCTAAGGTTGTTCAATATGATCGGTAGTGTCAGCGCTATGTTGGGCGATTTACCTGAGAGGTGCCTTTGTTTGTTTCAGTGTTGAGGACATGACAGACCTTGAAGGTTCATGTGTACCACCCTCCACTTGTCTTTTGATGTCATTCTTGATCCCCACAGGTACAATAACTATGAACATGGCGGCTTTGTCATCCAGTTGGACGATGTCCTGGGCCACCCAACTTTGAGGAGACAGTCACAAGTCGCATCAGTTATTTGAAGTAACATTATGTATGATGTCTTTCAGCACAGTATGGCGTGTGTCTCAAGTTGAATCGAAGAGCCAAACCAAACCCAAACATTCTTCGGAATGAATCAGGATAGTTCTGTATCAACTTCTTCAAATGAAGGCCAATGTAACGTAACTCAGTGTTGTTGCGGCGTGTGTGCAGGATCGCAAACCGAGAGCTTCTGAAGGCCACCCACCAGAAGTTGGAAGAGTTGAATGCAATGAGGACTGAGCCTAAACACAAAAATGCAAAGGCTTACGCTCGCTGGGCAAACAAGGTGTGGAAGGAGAACCAGGATGCCCCAACAGTGTTGGTGCCATACAAGGGCAAAGTCTGGGTGGCACGGATGAGCCACAATCAGCTTGATTTCTTCTTTGCAGAGGGTGACTTGTTTGATTTGAATTTATTTTTGACTGACACTGACAGGAGACTCACACTTGACATTTGTCTTACCCTTCCTCGCTGCGGTGCCAACTTTCTCTTCTTGATTCAGTTATTATTATTCAGTCACATGTCATCTTGATTCAATTATTCTTCACTTATTGAACAGTTCAAAGATTCATCTTTTAAAACCTTGTCCTGTTTGGGGCTGAGGCGAAAGACTCAATGTGAGGTTTTGTGGGCTGTTCCTGGTGCCCATGGAAGCCATCATTACCCCGACATGGTGACCTGATGTTTCGAGCGTTGGAGACAGGTGAAAAGGTTGCACTCTGACCTGAAAGTAACAGCAAGCTGCAACCCAATGACTTTGACATTTACTCTTGAATTGACGTTGACAACTGTCCTGCTTAGTTTTGATCATGTTGCCCTTCTCATGGAGTCCTTGCTGCTTAAGGTGCTGGATGCAAGGGTATGGTCTAATACCCAGAATCAGAAAAATGTCCATGTCAGGATCATGCAAACTCATCCATGTCAGAAAATTGAACAGGCATTCGTTCTCTTGACCATGCCGTTTCTTTTATCTTTGAATAACACCTGAGTTGCGATTCGTAAATACAGGGTTTGACTTGGTGTGTTGTTGGCCCTGCCATGAGGCCTGAACTCCTGTGCGCTCAAAGAGTTGCTCATGGTTGTCCTCTGAGGTGCATCTGACTTGTTTGACACCAGTCCCACCTTTTTGAGGTTCCGTCTGTTTGATCTTTTGATGCAGTGGTCATTGAGTCATGGTTCCTGTCGTTTGCAACTTCTTGTGATGTTGAACTGTCCCTCCAATTCAAGGTCATGTGAGTCATGTGTGTTAATGATTGCCATGACATGTCACTGACATATGTGAACAGTCAGACAGAGAGTCGAATGATGACAAATTCATGAGTGGTAGGACAGCAAGCAACCACATGACCATGCCGAATGATATTGAAGCAACAGTGTCAAATGGCAACTTAGTCTACTAGTAGCCTCCCTAGCCAAATTTGGATAGATCTTGTAAACTTTACAACAAGTAAGTTACTCACTGCCACTTCCACCTGCTGTGCCATCTGAGCCATGGACATTGAAATGACGAAGTCTTGGACTGACAATTTGGTCTTGGTTGCTTGGGGCGCAGATGCCTACTATGGTGCTAAAGGTTACCGTGGACGTGACATGATGCAAGGGTTTCTCAAAGGTACCTCAGCCAAAGAACTGTTTAAGTCACTGTGTTTCCAGAGCGGCGCATTTATAGTTTCATGCAATTCGTTTGACTTGGCTTT